TTTTATTCTGATCAGTCTAACGCACCTCCTTGCTTCCATTTTCTTTACATTCCATGTACATTCAACCCCAATATCTTGTCATTGTTATCCTTGCGATGCGAGTTGTAACAATTGGATTTATCGCACTTCAGTGCTCGGATCATAGTTGCTCAACTGAACTGAACAGCTTGAGAAGATGCAATTCTACAAGCACTATTTTCCTTCAGAACCGAATATCATCCAGTCAGGTGCAAGACATCGGCGGAACTTATGCCTTGCGTTTTCTACTAACAAAGTTAATACCGCACTTTTCACTCCTGTACATAACGACATCGACGAGTTAGAACGTCGCGAGAGATATCAAGCCACCTATCGGAAGTTTGCAACTCCGCTCTAACTTGGGGAATTTGCAAGTAGGAATGGACGCATATTGTCAACATAGCAGGGGAACCTATAAGGATAAGGCGCATCATATAGCCTCGCACTTATCATTTGAAAGACTGTCGCACCGTCAGTGCGAGGAGGCTGTTTAGAAGCAGCAAACGAGCGTATCATTTCTTAATCTATTGCGCTGACGAGACTCGAACGGCACGGCGCTGCGCAGGTCAGACATGACAACAAGGCCACCCGATCGATATGGACTTGATGCCCCGCATGACCAGGCGGGAGATAATGTTGTGTATGAAGCTCACACGTTTAACAATGCCGTGCTATGTGTACGTCTTACAGACACACGTGTATGGACGCTAGGTATACATTTTAGTCAAAGTGCATTGTCACTTCGCATTCGTTTGTTCTCTACTCGCGTACACAGCAACGAGGTACACGCACTCCATTTTCAGAGAACGACTTGCACGTATTCGCTAACGGCCGCAGTGGTGTCAGCCTACCACGTAGTTTCAAAACAGCCGTCTACACAGCTCGTCAATTTACGAGATTGCAAGCAGCTCGAAGAAGAAATAATACATATATGTTTACGTGCACTACATAACAGTCGTATGAGTGAATACTGATTCGAAGCAGCGAGTAGAGCTTTCTCTGTGTAGCTGCATCATTCGTCGCTCTTGGACATATACTCCTTATTTATCGTTTCGCTCTCTATATTTTGCCTCTGCAAAGTGTTTGTCTAGGAGCTTCTTAAATTCGGACACTGAGTTCGCCTTTACTATCTGCTGCGGCAGGTCGTTCCAGACATTCGCCACTCTGCGTTCGAAACAGAGTTGGTGAGCGACCCGCTTCAACTTCGGTACGATAAGTTTATACCGGTGTCCTCGCGTGCAGCTTGGTGTGCGCAGATGAAGCAGTTGTCTCAACATGGGGTAATCACTCGGATGTAATATCCGGTGCGTCATGATGAGGTCAACCCTCAGCCGACAATAAACTAGGGTGTACAGCCCTAGTTTCTTACATCGGTCTTCATATGGCATACCTCGTAAGTTGGGAAACAGCCTGGTGGCTATATACTGCACCCGCTCAAGCTTTTTTACCTCGCCCCGGGTGAGGGGACAATACGCAGGAGAGCCGTACTCTAGCATTGGTCGTATTATCGAGACGAAGAGGCGAGTAGCAATCTCTTCGGACCAAGTGCTGAAGCTGCGCCTGAGGGCCCAAAGCATTCGAAGGCTGTTTTGGTACAGCCTATTCGTGTTGTCAATGGACTTTAGGTCGCAGCGTGAAAGTACACCGAGGTCGTGCACGAAAGACGCGAGATGCAACGGTTGACCAGCCACTGTGTACGTTCGGCTGTGCTCACACTTACCCAACCTCATAAATTGCGACTTGGCAGGGTTGATCGGAAGGTTAACCTCTGCAGACCATGTCGAGAGGCGATCGAGGTCCTGTTGAAGTAAATCACATTCATTGAGTGTGCGGATTACTCTCCACACCTTCAAGTCATCTGCGAACAACGCACAAGGTGATTGGAGTAGCTGAGGCACATCGTTTACATGGATCAGAAACAATATCGGCCCCAGTACAGTGCCTTGGGGTACGCCGCTGCTCGATGGATACCAGTCAGTTAGATGGTTGTCCACCTGATGTCGAAACATCTCAAGTATAGTAAGATAGAAGCAAGGAAACGCGTTCTCAAACACACAGTTCACCACTTAATGTCAAGACCGTTGGCAGCCAGGTGGCTGGCTCATACGCTTTTGCATAGATTCACAGGGTGCAACAAGGTCGTTCATTCACCATCCGTTGTATATTCATTTCTGGTTACATATATGGAAATAGCGGAGGAATACGATACTAAAGGTAAATCGCAAGCGTCGCATATTTAAAGCTGTTGCTGTTTTCGTTGGAAGGTTACCTGACACTACCGACTGTGGATTCTATATTTTATGTTTAACTTTGGAGCAGATCGTTTTTCTGATCAAGTCTCAAGGTCGCTGTTGTCCTACTCCGTCAACCATTTGAGAACGTTACGCGTTAAACCTGTGCTTCATCGAATACGGTCATAAAGTCAGGAACACCTTCAAACGAATTAGGAGTAATTGTCTTGGAAAAGAGCGAAAGCATCGTACTGGCTGGCAATCTGGCCTCAGTCATTGTTCTGTCGACAAAGCGCAAATCTCACTGATACTTTCCAGCAATGTTCGCTCGCTTGTTGTTAAAATCGGTGACCTCAGTGCCATTATGCAGCGAAATGAGTATGTTAATTCACGAATCATTCTGTTACAAGAAAGCTGGTTGCATACTGATGTGAAAAATGGGGTAATTCAACTCTATGGTTAATTTCCCCTTAGGTCTGACCGCCCCGGAAATCCGCAGTTTCTTGGTGATAGCGTTATAACTTACGTTAATCAACATTGGTGCAACTCAGCAAGCATAATAATCACATACTCAACGAATTCTATAAGCTGCCATTTAGTTGAATGCAAACCGAAGTCCTTAAGTGGCTTCCAATCAGTCATCGCCGGAGAGGTATACATTACTCCTGACACATCTGCATCATAGTTAAAAATTTTTGATGTCCAAGTTTCTTCAACGTTTAAATTAGATTGTTCTATCTGTTGTTGCTGGCGACTTCAATAGAAAGGATACAACATTTTTGAAGACACTTGGCTTGGTAGACCTAGTGACTTTTGATCAGACAAGATGCCCAGTTGGACGCTGTGTTCACAAACAAACGACATTTGTTTTCCATAAGAAAACGAGCTCCTTTGAGCAGCTCAAACCACTGTATTTTAAAACTGTGTCCAGTCATATCCAGCAGGGCTAACTTTCTAACGCTGACCATACGATGTTTACTTTAACAGACTTCGGTCAAGGAAGAAGGCCTGTCCCTCGAATGTGACCATCTTACGGACTACATCAAATATTGCTTTGATATGTTACCCTGTTGAAACGATCTATCTAAGGGCAGATAGATTCTCATCATCATTACTAAAGCGGCTTCGAAGGACGAAACAGTGGACTTACAACTGCAAGAACGCTACCCGTGTCAAAAGCCCAACCACAGCAATTAAATCCGAGATAAGGCTAAATCAATTACACGTCGAAGCAGATCTAGGCAACCATAATTGTCGTGCTCTATGGAGGCTTCTGTTGTGAGAGCGTTTGCAGCCAGAGCGATGAAATAGATTTGGATAAACTGAATTCTGTGTCTAGTTCCGCCTCATTAAACTCACTTTACTTGCCCTCCTTCTTTAGCTTAAGTCCAGCTGCGCTCTTCGATCAAAGCAACGTCCACAATGAACTCAAAAGATTAAAGACAAACAAAGCTCGTGGTCCGTATGCTATCTCACCCTTAGCTTTGAAGGAGTGTGCTGATTCTCTTATACTGCCTTTAACAGATCTCTTTAACAAATGTCTCACTACGGGTGTGATCCCAGACATTTGGAGAACGACCAGTATAACTCCAGTACCAAAAAAGGGATCTCAAAAGTATCGCCCAGTTCATGTACGTCTGTCTTTGAAAGACTGTTAATTCTGCGCATTTGATCAGCCGCTCCTGGGGACGACATCTACCAGTTTGCGTATAGACCCAAACGCTCCACATTGGATGCAGTGACATATCTTGTTCATTCTATATCCTCTACGTTAGATCGAAAATGTGGCTCTATACGGCTTATTTTCCTCCGTGCTGACTGGGGTGTTTTGCAGTAAGCGATCCAATTATTTTCCTATTTTTTAGTATATTGAACCTCTGTCTATACAAACCACATTTATAGGGTGTAAATATGCTGGTGATGTTGTGCTGAGATGTATGGCCCACACTAACCAGGATTCTTCACCAGTGTAACGTGGGTTGGAAGATCTGGTGAAATGCTCTTCATCCAGATCACTTACGCTTAGTGCTTCTAAATGCAGTGATGTAATATTTTCTTTTCTCCCTGGCGATAAGTTACAGTCCCCATAGATTTCTCCCCCACTCCTACTGACAGCAGATGTTCCGCGGTCTCCATAGATGGTTGTCTCTGGAAAACCACACGGGCCTTGCTGATACTCGAAATACCTTCCCCAGTGATGTGACCATCAGAGATGACACAGCTACCAAGGTAAGTAAACCGATCCACTCCGGTAGCATCAGAAAGAAGTTCTGCCAGGGGACCGACCGAGAAACCTGGAGTACGCTGACGACATAGCACTTCTTGGGTCCATCGCAGTGGCTGTGCATACATTGCTGGATAGACTGACGCATAGCACCGCACGCCTCGGCATGTGCTTTGCGTCTTCAACATGCAGAGTACTATTGCAGGACTGGACCGACATACTTCTAGTTTTAGCTATCACTCAACAGCCACTGGAAGTGGTGGTGTTATCACAAATGCAGAAGTGTGTCTCAGTTATTGTGTCCATGATTATGGGTTTCAAAGGCGCTTTCAGGAATTTTCAGCCATTATATCGGGCTTTTTCTTCGCATTTCTCTGTGGATTCTGACATTGCTCCATGCCACTTGACTGGAGCCACTTGACTGTTTCGAAGTGGTGTTGGATGTCGCAATCGGCACCAACAGCTCTCTCTATCTCATCAATTTTTATCACCAGCTGGATAAAGACAGATTCCAAGAAAATGCTCGGCTTGTCTGGCTCGACCTACTTGTGTGAACAGTCATTCTCAGGTTTGAATTTTAACAAGAACTATGTGAACGCACAATGTGGCAACATCGATTGCCACAATAAAAAACCCCGTTCGCATCACAGCTTCTCACAACAACATGATGAAAGAAGTCCAAGAAGCTTGCAATGACATCTTATGGTTTATATGAATTGGTGTGGAAGAGGGGACGGACATCGGTTGTGTTAGGTATAAAATTGGCTGCGTATCGACAAAGTAAAGCACGGAGATGGACCGGATGGTCCTATGGAAGTATGATACAATTAACCGGGATTGATTGACTCGGATACATTCTTCGCCGCTTGATTCAACTGGTCTATGCGAGCCCGCGTAGATGGAGTGAGTTTAGTGGAACCTGACGCGGATGCCGCACTGAGTAACAGAGCCTCCAGTCGACGAGAAAGAAGGCCGATAATTCTTGGACCGTGTTCAATAGTGGTAGAATTCCTAACGTTCAGGCTGAGGACGGCTTCATGCAAGTACCTGTGTGAAGAGTAAAACCTTTGGACATCTCTCAAGCAATCAACAGAAATCAGTATGGAGCGAAGCGTCGCATGAAAATAATACACTGAGTGACTATGATCTGTTGATTTCCTCCCGAGCTTCTAAATTTAAACATTCTCCAAATTAGGTACGCCGACGAAGGACGTGACTTTGAACAAACAGTTGTGATGCGAAAAGTTGCTGCTTTGTCTCAATTAATGGGATGGAAATAAAAAGAGAACAAAATGCCCCGTTTTGAACTGGCTTACTAAGGTCCCAACATACGGTATGTTGGAGGGGATCTGCTAAGGAAATCCTGTTCGCCACAACGGTGAGCTTATTCTCTACTCTGAACATGCAAGTATGCAAACACTGCTCACAAGCATAAGATCCTGTTGAGAAGGAGACACCCCCATAGATGAGATTATCAACACATGGAAACCCAGCTCTGCCATTGAGATGACAGAGTTCTGGGTGAACTCGGACATTCCGTAACAAGCATAAACCTCTGCACGGAAAAGACAAGGTAAGGGAACAGGTGTCGAAAACTAGGCAGCTCCTCCACTACCGCGCATCTCACCAACACAAGCCACACCACTAATTCGCCTGAGACATTTAACATCACTTAACAAACGTCTGACAGACGATCAAGACGCGTCCGTGGGCCGGGACTAGGAGTCGCTAAAGGTCATCACAATCTGGCTGTACGAACAGGAATTATGCACCCTGGAAAGGTTCAGCCAGACGTTAGAATTGCCTTGATCCAGACGGGTTGTCACGGCTGACCATCGGAATCACGCAGAAGTTGTAGTCGCGACAGAATGTCAACGTTCATATAAAACTGAGTGCAGCATAGCGGCCCTTCTGCAGTGTCCGCATATTTTGGCTTAAGTGTAATTGTGTGAGCTCGACAAGGAATTGGCGAATAGATGTCTTACAGTCTTCCAGCGGCAAACGTTGCTCCAAATGTGAAGACCACAATCGTTCACACAACAGCAATAAGCAGTAGCGACTGTAGCTACACTGACCGAAACGATTAAATGTCGTACATTGAAACATGCCTATTCTCGACTAGATATTGTGAGAGAGACATTTGATCATATTGAGATAGAGACTTCCTTTGGTGTAGACGGACTGGTAGTCCTCGGTCGCAGGTACCATTTACGGTTACTAGGTGAACTCACTAAAGACGGTTGCCGCTGAAACGTAAGGCGCTTAGTACGTGGTAGTCTACAAGCGTCAGTCCGATCACAGCTGAGGAGTGCGGGATAGCACGCAGTTAACTATGGCACCCTTAATATTTTCATCATATCTGCTGGTCTGGTGGATTGGGAAGATGGACGATAAAAGTCGCAGTGACGCTGTCCATTCTGCCTGAGATTGCTCCCATTCTTTGATCATTGTTGCCTGCGGAAAGTTACTTGTGTCGGAGAAAAACCAACTCGCAGGTGGGTACTATCCGGTGAAAATCAGAATAATTTATTAAATCGACAAAAATACTGGTTAGATTGCGTTGGTTTCGGCGCGTACTACGCATGCCCAGTCATTGCTTACCCAAAAGAGTCTTGTTCTGTTTGCTGGGTGGGCATAAATTTACTTGGCTGTGGAAAATGAGGGCACTGACGACCAAACTGGATGCTGTTGGTCCACGAGATCGGCCTTGTGTTTGGCTCGATACTTAACAGGACAGGACGCGTAGCCCGCACCAGTGACGTGTTTGTTATCGTCTCTTAGTCGAAACGTCAGATTAAATTGCCTGAAGCTGAATTATATGCTGGTTAATGACTGATTACGACGCAGGGCAGAAAACACGTAAGTCGACTGCCTCGTTGATGTCATGTTATCACTGTACGATAGGCAGCTGCTTTTGACAAATGTAGGTGCCCTGATCCCGAACGTTTGCCCAGGGTAATTGTGATTTTATGATAGGTCATTCGGGTTGCGGAGTAGCGAAGTGTCAGTTAAAATTGTCAAAAAACTGCTGTTGACAATTATGATGCTTACACAAGTAGGAGAGATGGTGCCTATCCTAAAACCTCCAACGCAAAGTCCAGCGTGTACATTAAAAGTAGTTGGACAATCTAGTTAGTCCGCTGACATGGGCAATAGAATTAGCAGAACAAGACCCACAGAAGGTGTGGGTCGAAGAAAAGACGGTATTACATACAACTAACGAGAAAGTCTGACGATGAGACGAAAGATACCATATGGTGGCGTAGCATATTTGTTGATAGCCAGCCATGACAGAAAATCGAGCTTTTTCAGAATAAAACGGTTGACGACTCAAGTTGTTTTATTTAAGTTCAGGGGTACTGACAGTAACTCAACCCACAAATAACCACGACTACTTCACCGAAATTCTGAAATAACAGTTGCACAGAGCCATCCCACTGTTCACATAGTATGCAAAGTAGACAAATATAAGTGCCGCGTCGGATTTCTCCATCTACCTTCCCTAAGACGGTTAAGTCAAGAGGCTGCAGCAGCACGAATACTGAACATTGTTGCAGATGCCTCATGTTGCGTTCTCGAAGCTAGAATTCGTGGTTAACAAATGAACTGCGCCGAACTTGTACTTTCCCAAATGGTTGACAGCGTTCGGAAGTTACCAACCAAACTGAAATGGACAGTGGTCAACTCTTCAGTGGAATGCTCACCGACTGATTGGGTTTCCGTGCGAATGATTGTCTTTGTTTGACCCATTTGACAAATTTATCTAAGACTTGTGCGCACACAGTCACGTCCGACTCTAACTGGTAGTGATACGCTTAATGTGCACCAACCGATTGTAGCCCCAAAGCCGACAACGAAATTAACACTTGGAATTTTGGACACGGCAGTAGAAACAGCAGGGTAGTAGTCTGCCTCACTCACAGCCCATACAGTTTCATATAACAGTCCGCTGAAGTGGAGTCTTGGCAATATGCTAGCACCTTAATCTTGAGGCATACAAGTTTTATGCGGAGCCCGTCTTCTCATTTGCGGAGTTGTCTTTCAGTGTGTTGTTGTGTTGCAGCAGATATTGACCGAAAAGGTGATCGTGTACATGAAATGTGGACACAGAGGTGGGGAAATGGTCAACTAAGGTAGTAAACTCACGATATGCATCAGAAAGAAAGCTACTTGGTTCAGACTGCACACAGGCCAATCTCATGTATCCGGAAACGAATCACATTGATGGATGTTTAAAAAATACCACAACAAACGCAGGAAATGCCAAGGTACCTTAGTTTAAGATCTAGCTGATCAGACAGGTTGCCACAACTCAGCTGGTGGATGAGCGAAAGCAAAATGTTCTGTCCGATTTGAGTATTTCCAGAGGAGAACAGCTGGTCCGGTTCAATATCGCCGCACACATCCAAAACGAGCCTCTGATTCGTGGAAACCAGTGCCTGAGGGGAGGAACGGACCGAGAGTTCGGACAAGTTTGCACGCCAAATGCAGGACAACAGTATATATATGCTCTCAAAATGAAAGTGTCTAAACGAATACTGAACACTAAGCCCCGAGATAAGAGATAAAGAATCACCAACAATTTAAAGAGTTAACAACTCGTGAGACATGTGCCGTCTCTCGTTTCTATAGTAAGATTGCTATTTTGAGTCTGACAGTCGATGTAACTGTTGACGCAGTGATCCAGATGTTTGACCGAATGTGACGGGTTCGTGTATCTGCGCTTCTGTAGTGCAGATGGAATGCGCCTGAAATGGCCCATTGGCACACAATCGCTGGCGATTTTACATGGGAGCGAAGCATAGGATACTAAGTGCACTGATGCCCCAGCAAGATATCGATGCTCTGTTGTTCAATTAATTCAAGTGTATCAATGAATGTAATAGTGGCCACACAAAGAAGTATCAATGTGATGAGAGCCTTTTGCATACATTTGCAACAAAAAAAACAATAAAAATAAATAAACGAGTCAAAATAGTGAGGCTTAGCTACTTAAGGGCCCAACAGCACATGGCCAGACGAGACGTGGAGGTGCGGATGAAACCTCTCGAGGGGCTTGTCCCGCATGGAAGCAGGCCTCTAAGGGACGGTTCCATGGATGGCCGTACTACTATAATTAAACTGAGGACGATTCTTACAATTATTCTTACTGCCAGCTCATTTTTGCACTACTTTTAATTGATAGCAAACTCCCAACATTTCAGATGAAACATTGTTATACCTAGACAATTTTCTTCACTATTTGGTAATGTTGTACAATATGATCAGACCACGTGATCGGTCTGTGTCTCGCAATGTCGAGATATACACCATTTATTTATTTGCTAACGACTTGCAGTAGTACGCCAATAATGCTATGCTGCGTTTAGTGGATTTAAGATAGCCTGCACTGATCCATTAATCGAGCAGTTGAATAGGTTGGCCCACACAAAATACGCGAAGGACCAGAGAGTGACAGGGGACAACTGGATCGTCGCCTAGCTGCTTCATCAGTTACGGTCCAAGTGATCGCGGTCCACGTTGAGATGGCGCAAACGAAATCTATTCTCAAAACGAGCGCTTAACAAAAACCCTTCAATGCTAAGCAACATTTGTTGAAGTCATGACAAACTACGCGATTGGAAAGTCGGACTTTTCAACATTCACACAAAACCATGTGCAAATTCAGAAGCGCACAGACTACGAGAAGATACATAGGAGATAGGGGGATACTCAGTCCACGCCTTGGATCGAGGTACATGATTAAAAGAAGAGTTTGCAGTGGCACCCGTTGGGTACACAATTCGGTTGCATTACAATCACTATAATGTAGTCCGAACATCGTCCAGTCGCCCTACTATTCATTTCTCGCAAGCGAATTACTGATTTTCTGCTTAAAATCCAAAGTGTCCGAATTGGCTTGTGAAAAGTTTATTTTGTTTTGCAAAACGTCCATTTTATAGTGAAAATGGTATATATATGCATATATAGGCGGCGGTGGCTAGATCCTGACAGATGGTCTACCCTCTGCTGCTACTGTTGTGGCATTGGCTCATGTCCTGAACGCCTCTTCGTGTCGACCGCTGGGTGAGTTGGGTTACGCCCTTCTTCCTGCTAAGAGCCAGGACAACAATGCGCATGAGTCAGTGAATTGACCATGTGCTAGACCTGCTGCCTTTCTGGTGTACATTTAGTCGAAGGCTTTGGCTGTGGATGCAAGTCGATCTCCTGTCAGGTGTGGGTGCCCTGACAGTTATCCTAGTCCATCCTCTTCGGGGGTTAGGAAGTGGTCGATGGCCCTACTCCCGTAAAAGCTAGACATGAGAGACAACTGATCCACGGGTTTTAAGCTGACAGCTCGACTGGCGTAGAGTACAAGATCAACACACTGTTTCTGACAGTGGGAGGGCACCTCCGGGTGCTTAATGGATTGTTACTGCCCGCCTCAAGACAGGCTGACCCTGGTCAAATTAGTGCAAACCCGCCAAAACCCACCTGCGTCTGGCCGTGGTCGCGAAACATATAAATCGTTCCAGTACCTCCACGACTGCGTGTGACGGCCGTCAAGCAGATCCCAATCTGTCTCTGAAATCGGACGCCCACGACGACGTTGTGAGCGCATAGACACCAGCCAACTGGCAAAGCCGGCTGTTCTGAATGCCTATCAAAGTACGCTGTCATGCGAGTTGGGTAAACGCTCACGGGATGCAATTCAAGCTCACTGGTCTCATATCCACCAGTCACTGCTAGCAGCAGGCAAATCCTCATGTGGTATGTCTAATCGCCAACATGGATATTGGATCTCTTCACAGTCTCTGGAACTTATAGATGCCGGCATATTCCGGCCGGAAGCAAACACAATAAAACTCGAAAAGATCTCCGGGCAAAACTCCGCGCTAGCTTGAAGAGATATCGCGAATCCTGGTGGTCTCATCGTGCATCAGAGATGGAAAACCCCGCTGCCCTTGATAACCATCGTGAGTTATTCCGTCTGATACGGGAAACGGACAGCAGGAGACCTGGTGTTAGTGAAACTGTACGTGACGAAAGTGGACAGCCTATCCACAACATATCAAAACGTTCAGATCGGTGGGCTGAGCATTTTAAAAGGCAATTAAATCGGTCGGAATTGTTAGATTTCTCGCCGACCAGTGATCGCCACGCTCCCTGGGCTCTCCCTTTGGATCCACCCTCTCGCTCAGAAGTCGAACGTGAAATCGCACTGTTGAAGTTAACTAAAGCTGCGGGACCAGATGATGTACCTTTAGCCCTCTTCAAATTCGGGGGACCTGCTCTTGCGGATGATTTACACGAGTTACTAGTGAAACTGTGGGAGCAGGGAACTGTGCCAACCGACTGGAACCGCTCCGTCATAGTCCCAATTTTCAAGGGAGGCTCCAGATCGGAATGCGGCAACCATAGAGGAATCAGTCTGATCTCCATCGCTTCCAAATTGCTTGCTTCTGTCATCCTTCATAGACCGACTGCCACTCGTGAAAGCCAGATTCGTGAAGAGCAAGCTGGATTTCGTCGAGGTCGTAGCTGCATTGACCACATCTCCACCTTGCGTCAGTTGTTGGAGCACCGTCACATACATCGGCGGCCCACCGTTGTCGTGTTCCTCGATATCAAAGGTGCATTCGATTCGGTGGATAGGCATACACTTTGGGACTGTCTACTCAGGAAGGATGTACTTGAGAAATATGTAAATATTATCCGAGCATTATACGTGCGTAGCTCGGGCAGAGTGAGGGCTTACGGCAAGTTGTCGTCACCCTTTAATATCTCCAGCGGCGTGAGACAAGGATGCCCACTGTCACCTTTCCTCTTCATCTTCGCTGCTGACGAAGTTATGGAAATCGCGTTCACAGGACACGACTTTGAAGGTGTGGATCTGCTCCCAGGAAAACCACTTCTTGACTTAGAGTACGCTTACGATATTGCCCTAATCCGTGACATTTCAAAAACGTGCCAAGCGGCACTGGACAGATTAGCACTAGCTGTCCGTCACTTCGGGCTTTGCTTCGCACCCTCGAAGTGCAAAGCGTTCCTCTAAGATTGGTCTGGACCGTCTCCTACGCTGACCAATGGTGCGGATCAACTAGATGTCGTTCAAAAATTCAACTACCTGGGAAGTTGTATCAGCGCCCGTGGGCTTGAAGATGAGAGCACGAACCGTATAGCAAAAGCTCAGGGCGCATTTGCTAACCTTTGCCACGTATCGCGCCGGCGCGACATCACTCTTGCCCTGAAGGGTAGAGTGTACAATGCAGTGGTACGTTCGACCCTACTGTACGGTTGCGAAACCTGACCGCTTAAAGCAGCGGACCTGAAGAGGCTAGTTACCTTCGACCACCGGTGCCTTCGCAATTTAGCTCTCATCTGGTGGGAACACCGCGTGAGCAACGAGCGTGTTCGACGCCTTGTTTACGGCACAGGAAAAAGAAATGAACCGTTCAGCACCGTTAATTCACGCACCAGGCTCCGATGGCTCGGCCACGTGTTACGCATACCAGCCCACCGACTGCCGCAACGTGCATTGTTTGCGCGCCGGGGGTGTGGATGGAAGGAGGAGGGGTGGCGAAACGATGACTTGGTCCAGAGGAATGAAGGCCCTCACTTCTGAGCTGGCCTCGGTTGGAGCATCTCAGCTCCCTGGTTGGGGGTCCGAAAGGCGATGAACACGTTTGATTGGACACACTTGCTGATATGGCTAGGAGCCGACCTCAGTGGCGTTCGTGCTGTGAGTTTCTTTGTCCCACCCCATCCCTCTTAGCCTCCCCTCCAACCACGATCTCATTATTTAGCCTTACATAATTTTGCAAAGTAATTTTTTTGATGCCCAGTAGCGTGCTGGTAGTTTACCGGAACGATGCCCATCCGTTACCGGTAGCTCAGCCGACTTACGCCAGTAGCATTCTTTTTTCTCCTTTTTTCTGTTTATTGCGGCACAGTAGCTGAGGTGTTCCCCACCTCTAGCTAACATGTATGATGATGAGGATGATGACTCTGAAATTACATTCCTGAGCTGGATCGGCTCATGACTGCCGTGTGGGTCAGGCTATTGAGCCAAAAGCTCCGAGTGGAGTCCCTCAAGCAAACCTCCGAAGCACAACCGCCACCTCACGTGCGATTGCCCACCAATGCAGTCGTATGTCAGCGCACAAAGCACTCAGCATGGGATGCCGGAACATGCGCACACTACTGGACCGGAACTCCAGCGAGCGCCCCGTGCGACGCACTGCACTGGTTGCGATGGAACTGTCGCGCTACCACATCGATATTTCGGCACTCAGTGAAACCCGGCTCGCTGAGCAAGTTGTTGTATAAAGCAGGTACTGGCTACACATTCTACTGGGTGGGCAACGCCGCCTCAGCAACATGTGATCATGGGATCGAATTTGCAATATCCGATCGCCTCCATGGTCACCTAGTAGGTGAACCAACAGGCATCAGCGCGCGACTGATGACTGATCGTCTACGACTCGGAAGTGATAAATTTGCCACTTTTATAAGCACGTACGGTCCGACCATGTGTTATCCTGATGACACGCGTGATCAATTCTACACTCAGCTCTCCTCCGTGATACGGTCTGTGCCGAGGAGCGACCGACTATTTCTGCCAGGTGATTTCAACGCGCGCGTTGGGCGTGATGCATCGGTGTGGACTGATATTATCTGTTCGCATGGTATTCGTTCAGCGAATGCGAACGGTGACAGGCTGCTCTCACTGAGTGTTATTCACGGTCTGACGATCACGAACACTGGGTTTGCACTGAGTGCGAGTGATATAGCAACTTGGACGCACCCACGCTCACCTGCTCGACTATGTCATCATACGTCAGTGTGATATGCGTGAAGTGCGCATGACACATGTACTGTGTGGAGCTGAGTGTGGCACTGATCACAAGTTGGTGCGGACCAAACTGCACAAATATTTTCGAAAATCTATGTATTGCACTTCCGCCGTGAATCGGCGTAAAGTTAACATTCTATCCCTCGGTACTGTGGCGAAACGTATTGAGCTGGAAATGGCAATGGATGCACGACTGTGTGATGTGAAATGCATAGCCACAGTGGGCAACCTGTGGCACCACATTGGCGATCAGGTGACAGCTGCTGCCGAGTAGACCATCAGGCGCGCAAACTGTAAGAGGTCTGACTGGTTTGTTGTGAACAATGCGACGATTCGCGCATGGGTGTCGTAGAAGAATGCAGCATCTGCTGTACATGTCGCAGACCTCAGTAACCTGGGGAAGAAGAGAAAGTTTGGGCGAATTTGACGGCGATTGACCCGAGAGCTCCGTCGCATTACTAATACATGGTAGGCGGAGAAGGCAAAGCAGATGGAATGCTACGCCGAACGCCACCAACATAAGGAATTCTTTGATTCCTTGAAGGTGGTGTATGGATCGAGGTTGGAGCCGCTGAGGACGCTGATCGATAGTAGCTCCGGCGCTACCTGCATACAGAATGCAGATCTGGGAAAAATGATTCGACTGTCGATTTTCCGGTTTAGGAGCCGTGTTTCTTGGATTGCGACACGCAATCTCAATCGTGGCCTCAGTTGACTTTGAAGTCAGCCTCTGCCAACACGGTCACTGGGACCGTCACCGAAGTGGAAGGTTTCGATGTGGCTCTCTCCCATCCCTACACTCCACGACCGACGGTTTCGTTATCAAGACATGATCAAGGTGAGCCTCTCACGTTCTAATCTTGATTGCAAGTCATGGGAATCGAAGGATGTTGATCGGCGTGCATGGCGCGATCTGATCACGAAGGCAGTTGCCGAGGTGCGTGAGAAAGACCTTATTCATGCAGAGATGAAGCGGCAAGCGCCGATGTGTTGTACTTAGTCGACATCGAGTGCATGGTGCTGTAGCACATGCGGTCACGAGTGCCTGAGTCAGGCAGGTCTAGTGAGTCAGGAGCGAGGCCACTCAAGGTCAACAAGTAAACGACGAAGAGTCCTGTTGAGAACGTGAGCAGAGCCGGCGCAATGTTTGTAGGTACGCTGCATTCGATTAATTAACCGTTTGCTTGCATGATGGATCTTTTCATTTCAGGTGGTTTGCTTTATTGTCTCCTTAATGTCTCCTTGAACTATTTTCTTATAACTTGCACACGTCGCTCAAGTTAATTGTAGTTATGTTTTATAACATTTCCGCTTACGTGATATCTTCTTAAAATATATTTTCTGACGTCTTAAACATATATCGAATCATTTGGCATCCAGTTTATTTCATATGCTCATATGTTGTGCCACATGCTGAGGCTGATGTTGCATTCAAGATGCTTCCCCACCGCAGTTAGGCTAAACCAACTTCCACTTAAAATAGGTCTTTTTAAGCTGGATAAATTTCATTTCCCTTTAATTGTTTTTTCCCGTCTATTTGAACATTCAACTCAACTTACACATGTTGCTTACGCTAATTGCGCTTATCTTCGGTAACTTTATTGCGTTTATAGGATTTTTTGAGAAACTTGTGGACATTTTGTACTTGTCGCTTCTTCGTTGATAACCAACTTACTTCATTTGCTAATTTAGCGATGAATTATGTCGGCATAGCCGTATGCTTTTAAGATTTATTTCATTTGATAATGTCGTTTCCAGTGATTGGTTGTTGTTTGACATCCCCGGTATGGCTGCGCTTGATGTGCATGTTGACAAGGCGCCTACTTGTCTATTACCCACCACCTCGTCCATACTGGCTCTAGGAAACAGTGGGGCGTTGCTGGAAGGGACGGGGTGCACATTCCTTGTGGCTGTGCTAGGCTCGGAGAGAGGTTCCATGCACTCAGTGTGGAGTGGACTACGGTTCACTCACAGCCTTGTGTGCGCTTTATTCTCAAATACAGCGTGCTTGTGTTTGTCTGTGAGGGAGTGTGGGCCGGTTCCGTTGATGAAACGTGGCTTCCATCCACATGCCTCCCGGTATTATACCTTCGGATTTACACTGGATATGGGGTGTGTGATTTGAGCTGTGGGTGGTGCAGCGCAAACCACCCATGGTCCCACTGTAGGCGCAGGCGTCCTGTAGTTGGCCACAGTGACAGGCAAATCCGAATCCGGATGGCGCCAACTATATACAGCAGCAGCAGTCTACGCAATAGATATCGAACCATTGAGAAAACATGGAATGAATGTGTACAATGAGTATAAACTCTCAAAAACGGAACATACCTGGAATTTATTTCTGTTTTTTACAAAGCGTTTTTTTCTTCATTTTTTGTCAGTGCGCTGATTACTGTGTTGATTAGTAGAATCAACGCAAACATTTATGCGAGCCTTCCATTATCCGCGATTACGCGCCATATTCTCAAGAGTCTCCAGTCAACAATGTCCTTCATCTCTAACTCCCAGCGCAGAAGACGTACGGGGCCAACAACAACAATTAGGATGGAAGTCAGTTCCTTGACGTTTTGTCCTCAAGAGATACATGGTCTACGTTCTCTAGTTGATTACCTAGTAGAATCTCCACCTGGTGAACACTGATCACCGGATTGAAGACGAAGGATGATTGGGATAACACTAACGAACTCGATTCGATGCGGCGAGTTAAAGGACGGCTTTCTGCCGACCCTTCATAACCTTGGCAAGAAGCTCTCCAGCAGCGAATGTGAACGGAGACTCCATCACAGATAGATGCGACCAGCTGAATCATGTGCTCTGAATGAGCGATTAGACTAATTAACTGCTCTGCTGGAACAGTGATACGGAATACCGCGTCGCCTACGTGTCATCCTTGCGATATTGCCAACAATCGGTCTCGATGATCTCTCGCTGTAACATAAGGACCATGGCTCAATCCGATGGCTTGCAGATAATAAGTCGTAGCTTTGAATCCTGCTGAACACGCTACTAATGAGCCGCAATTGGACGAAAAGGCCGTTTATGTACTATCAAGAATTTGTAGTGACCGTATGTCTGGGCTCCCATGGTGGAGCTGTACGCTATCGGGTACGTCGCCAGGTTGCGGTCGGGGAATGTCTTCCTTGTGGAAGTAACTGCGAATAAGTCACGTTTGCTTTGCAGCCGAGATGAATAAGCAGTCGCGGACAATCAGCGGCAGCGTCTCAGAGTATAGAGAGTCCTGGGCCGGTCAGCTGATTCTCCAGTAAATACCACAATTGCCCGTATAGCGCTGTGTCAAAGCCAATGTGACCGTCTATAGGGTCACTGACCACTCACTCCTGAGGGTGAGTATCTAACGCAGGGTGGAGGAACAACCTCGCTGGCCACAGGCTTCTCTGTGGACTGCTTCCGAACACAAACAAGACGAATGAACCACTTGGTTGTCAACGGTCTTCGTGAATCAGCCCGCTGCCTTGCGGGTCAGGTTTTTAGACCAAAGGCTCAGGGTGGGGTATCTTAAGTTAACCCTCTTCCTCGACCTGGGCAACCGGGAAGCTCAATGCCCACACAACATATGGAACTTTGCTTCCATTCCTTTGACATGTTGTTATTGTTACCTATGTGTTGTGGCACTGCCAAATGTATTTTTGGGCAAGCGTAAATAAATAAATAAATAAATAAATATATATATATGTCTGCACTGGGATGTTACAAATTAAGTAGAACTTAGTCACATTTAGACTCAGTCAGTGGATAGTGAGCGGCGCTATAGCACATCTAGTAACTCAGTCAAGTCGGTCGTTACCGCCCCGCACGATCAGTGGTCTTCACCACGGACTGATGATAGTCGGTCTGCGGGTTCCGGTCCCACAGGGACCAGATGGAATGCGCATTGCTGACGATTCCCGAAGATATGCTTTTTCTTGCTTGTTGATGGCAGTGCGACCGTCTATACGTGATGAATTTATAATAATACATGCAATTTCCCCTACTAATCCCCCGTGATGTTATAAATTCTCCTAAATAACAAAAATCTCTCTCCATTTCGATTCGGTGAAATCTCGAAGAAAATAACCACCTCATATTCTGGGCGCGCGGAGGTCCCTTCAATTCGCAGACCATTAATAATGAAAGATTTATTGCAGGACAGCTCACTGGGTACCTGGCTGATCCATATACCAGTCGGCAGTCCTTTAAGACGGAGTATGTACGAAGTTGGAGATGTTGCATACATATCCAGATTATTCGGAAAAAATGCAAATGGTGCCCTTTGTCACAGACCTACCAATGCAAGCCACATCCATGAGAACCCGACTTACCAATTCCAGCGCATCAACTAAGCGACCTTCTCGGATGAGGGAAAGAGCCTGGCTACTCAAGCGTGCGAACTCTTCCTTCTTGGTCAATGCTGACTTTGACGGGGTCGAAGCTGCCGGCTTGAGAGATGAAGCCGAGTTGGGCGCAGGAGTGGCTTCATACTGCCCACCATACTTTATCGTAGTCGAAGATGTTAAACCGTCGGGATATGTGCCCTCAGAATCAGTATCTTTGGCACGTGACGGAACAACAGCTTTGCCAACGCGGTGAGTGATACAAACTGATTCAGTGGTACCGAGCGTGGCTCGTACCGGACTAGCCAACGCTGAGGAGTGAGTTAGCGTTTTGTTCTCAATGGGATGAATATCTGCCTTGAGAGATAGCACAGCCGAAGTGATGGAGTCCTAGAGAAAAAACAGCAAAAATGATTATTAGATCGATGGATACAAATACAGAACACGCTGCCGAATCTGCATACTGGTAGAGTTCCGAACGTTTCTAAGCAAACAGACGAGTAACAAGATTTAAAAGACGTCGAAGCATTTCGATGGGAATCGAAACAATTGGTTATCACATAGAAAAAAATACCGGCAATCAGAGACTTCACTTTTAGGGGGACAAATAAACGCCGTTCGATTCCTTCTACTAAGTGCTGGATGGAACTTATCATGACATCGCTCCCACAAATTAAATGGACCGGATAGCATACAATCATTAAAAATCAGATGTGCAAGAGGATCTTCACTAAGATACTAAAACACATCGTAAGATGTATAGTATAGCAAATTAAGCCGAACTCGTAATAAATTTTCGATGACAGCCATCGATTTTACTATAAACATTTTAAATTTCTCACGTTCTATCAAGAAATGTAAACAGTTCACCACCTTGCGCCGTTCTCAGCAAACATCGCTTATATGCCATACCTAAAGTCTCGGAACTCGTGTTCGCCATGTCTGGTTGTAGTTCTACCACGACGTAAATGGGTACTACAACAGCCGCACATCAGCCATTTAAACTGATGCTTCGCTGCCGTACAACCACGGTGATCTACGAATCGATGAACTTAAGATAAGGGGAACCTACCGTAAAACCTTAATGCCCTAAACAAACATTCCGAGTCAAGGTGTCCACATCCTGTCAAAAACATACCGTCAAAAGTAGCTACCTATTGCGCAAAGAGACGGCGGCATCAAAGAGTTTTCGGCGGCTTTCACTGCTCCGCGTCATAATTAGTCATCACGCCGCAGATTAATCAGCACAAAACACACTTTTAACCAGGCAGTCCGAACATGAGATGACAGCAGACGCGCCACCGGTGTCGATTGTGAGCTGTGTCCTATAAAGTCTCGAGCCAAGCACAATGCGAGTCGCGTGGACTCCAGCCCGAAAGGCTAGAAGAACCAACGGCACCCAGTTTGGTTGTCAGTGACTTCATTTACACGACGAAGTTGACCAAAAATGGCGAAAATAAATCAACGCAGACCTGGATGAGGCCTATGGTGTTCGAGTATTGCATGGGAACAGTTTTCGCGCAAGTATTTCAAACAGAATGGATCGATCGATTGCGTCTAGGAACACAGCTATTGCCGGTCTGTGTTATGTGTGGCGTTGCCCCGGCACCTGTTGCAAAGTGAATATGTGGTCTATACAGCCCCATCCTCCTGCAAAATTTCCGTTCCACAGTGAGACAACGAACGAGAATTGAGGTCAGTAATTTTGTCACCTACGGCGTTATGCTAATACCCCTGTCGCTGCGGCTGTCCTTGTATATCGCCATTAAATTGATTCACATCAGTTAGCTGGGATGACCTCTTCTTTCTAGACATGTTCAAACAGGGAGGTTGGTGCTTCGCAGAGGACCTCACCACCATCATTCAATAATGCAGGATGGGGGAAATCCGGACCAACAGCACGAAAACGAGTAAGGACTGCGATCGCGTTTTGGACCTCTGTCCCTGACATGTCTCTAAACTAGCCAGTCATGGCTCAGCCTGCATCACCTGAGCAGGCCAAAGGAACTAAACCCGAAAGTGACCCGCACCATAAGCCATACGGAGATCCTTATTGTGAATAATGGCACCTGCGGTGTCTCTAATTGTCTCGCTGACGCCTAGTTTTCTGGGACCACATGGGGCGGATCACTTGGAACAGATTGCGACAACTGCCTACTGCTCCTGAGTTCACCATTTTTGGAGCTTTACTAGTCCACCAGGCTTCCTTGTTAGCATGCAGGCTCCATTTTAGTTCGCGCCTAATAGTTCAACTAGTTACATTGGGCTCAGAGACAGTCGGGAGCCTTCTTCCGGATTCCAAATGGTTCACAAACATCTGGTGAGGTGACGATTGATAGTGCCGCAGGCGCAGGCTCCTGTATTATTGTACATGGCGGCCGAAATCCTATTCCAACAACGCTCAGTGTCCTTACGACAAGATAGCGAAAGTTCGATATGCAGCGCATCTTGGTAGGCTTGCTTGACCGAGGGCTGAGATAAGTTCTTAGTTGCCAATCGATGAAGACGCTTTGTACACTTTCGGGTAAAGTTCAGGGGAAAACGGCAGCGTAGCAAGGTATGATCAAAGTCGACGCAAGTACTCCAGAAAGAGACAATACCAAATGGAACCACGCCACCTGTGACTTATGGCGACCAGATCTATTTAGGTCCATTACTGGCCAGGCATAAAAAGATGTCCATTGTGCCAAAAAGTGGCACTACAAGAAACAGCCGGTGCTCCGCACAGAGTTGTCAATAATGTTGGTAAATATAGAAGGTAAGATAGTATTGGGATCTGGGGGGGGGAGTAAGGGAAGCAGGTGGAAACAAATGAAGGAAGACGGCAGCAGCAACATGTTTTCGCTTATCCGCGCTGCTGTATGCAGCAGATAAGACGACCCTTGATAAGCTGCACGACGGCCGACGCAGGATGTGGTTAAATTTGAAGAAATAGTCATGGTTGTACATGGGCTGAGATATTTCCAGGATGCCCAGAGGTAAACCTCAGTATCATCAGGGTCCCCAACCAAAGCCTTCGGCTCAAAAGCGTAGTCAAGGCAGCAGATTTGCTGAGTTATCTGTGGGTTAGTGAAAACCACGAAAAACTCTTTGATGCCGAATTATCTTCGTAGAATATCCAGCTGCTTGTGACGGTATGTTTTTGACAGGGTGTAGACGCCTTGACTAGGAATGTTTGTGTAGGGCATTAAGGATTTATGCAAGGTTCCCCTTATCTTCTTTGTATTGTGCATCATTTCGTAGGTCACTGTGGTTGTACGGCAGTGAAGCATCTGTTCTGTCGTTGATGACGATGAGTAATGGGTACCAGGATGGGAGTAAGAGAGACAGGCAGCATATTTTCAGAAATCCTCTCTGCTGTATGCAGCAGATGAATTGATCTTTGATAAGGCGCGCCACGGCCGATGCAGGATGTAGCTGAAGTTTGAAGTAATCGTCATGGTTGTACGCGCACTGAGATACTGTCAAGGAGTCCAGACATGGATGCGAAAACGATTAGTGTCCTCTACCAAACCCTTTAGTTCCAAAGCAATGATTTGGTTTTACAGAAGTGGACGCCATCCCATTTCCAAGTCCCAACGTGGCAGACCGGTAGAGTGAGTTTGTCTGCGCTGTAAACGTTATCCAAACTGGTATGAATGGCTCTCACGAGTCCGGGGCACCACTCAGCCATAACCTCTTGAACACATCCATAGAGCCGTCGTCATATGTAGAAAGTATGAGTACTCAAACCGTTCAGCTTTTTTAAGTCATGCGCATACAGTACCCGCCAGTGAGTCTAGTGGTAGTACGTTTTGCATGAGTTCACAATCAGCCTGGAAACTTCAATCCGTCACTTCAGGAGATCGACCCAATTGTAGTCCATAATGAAAGAAAGAAGAGGATAAAAGGTGATAGAGCAAACTAATAATGATAGCAGCAATAATAATAATGTAGATAAATAAATGGCACATTTCACTGTACTTCAAGAAAAACTCATAGCATTAGTACTGTGTGCCGCAAGGACTGATTTGCCCTCGAGTGGACAAAACCACTAAAGAAGGCCAGAACCATACATAACATTAGTAGTACAGACGGCGCTAATCCAAGCCAGTTAAGCAATGATTCTGACCAGCTCTCAAGGTATTCAGGCCAAACACTGCTCCCGGGCTCGAGAGTAAGCGCACCAGAGAAAAGTAGCGGAACCCTTACAGGATTGCGTCCGAAACTGGCACTGATGGCAATGTGGGAACACTGAAAGAATATCGTTTAACTTAACAAGTTTCCAAAAATGAGTTTTAGGAGTGTATGGGCAGAGTTGGACGAACAATTACCTTTACTGCAGACGTTAGTTGAGCGCAGACAGCTGAAGCGACCGCACCAGCGTCCAAAGTCGAGGGTAAGTGCTTTTTAATCTCGTCCAAGTCTGGAAGAGAGGTGAACCAGAAGATGGAAAACAATTCGTTTTACATTCAAAGCCATGAAGTGGGAATAGATGCTAGGATTACCAGTTGCCGATGAAACGAGATACCAAAGGAGAAGCATGGGCCACTGCGGCATTTGTGTGTGTGTGTAGCACAGCGTGGTGTACGCTGCCCTAAGGAAACAACATCCACAAGCCAGTCGAGCAGTTTTCTGCAAGGCTAACCAAATCGGCTCGCAGATTTGAATGGTAATTTCTTCGGTAACACACACAAACAGGCTACACAATGGGCCATCACTGGACCTCAATTGCGCTTCGACCATCAAGTCCGTCGCTGTAAATCATTCTTGTTGGCAATTGGAGGAGAGATAGAGACGACAAAATGTTTCTCCATGTCCGATATCTATCTCTAACAGCCACACTGACAAACTAGCTTTGAGCAACCAAAACAATCGTCAAAGTGGATCCAACAAGAAAGTCGATTTTTCATGCCATACCGAGAAAAAAAAACCCGGGGCCATAAGTTGCGAGTCAAGCGCATCTCGCATTTCATGGTTTCGTGAAAATAACGTGGTGCGGGAATACGATCATAACAGTACGAAATCACCCGTTTCAGCAGTTGCTACGGAGACTTGGAAGCGTGAAAAATAGACGGATGGAAACATTGTCACTGGTGCATAGATAAAGGCCGCGGCAGTTGGGGCATGAGAACTACTGAATGGATAACGATTTTTTAAGTAAACGCAAAAGTTTGGATTGCAAGGTGCTAGGACCATGGCGCGAGAGCACAACTAGGGGAGTTGGATGAACGAATTCGGTGGCCCGCATCCTATGTAGGAACTAGTTGTTCGAACATAAGAATGGTGCAGGAGCAACCGGAGAGTTTCATCGATACCCGACATGAAGCAGAGAAGTCCAAAAGTACGAACGTAGGGGGGTCGAAAAGAAGCAACCCACTTAAAAGTAGTATACACGTGCAAGCCGCTAATTGTTGCGAGATTCAAAGAGTGCTCGATAATCTCCAAGCGACGGTAATTTACCGGTTCACCTGTTCCTGTGGATCAAGGTACTTTGGACGCACGACCAGGCATTTAGGTCCGAGAATCAGGGAACATCTCCCGAGTAGGCTCAGCAACCAGAAACATAGGACATCTTGCAGCTCAATAACAGATCACTTTCACAACACCAGTCATCACGTAAATAAACAGACAGATTTCAAGATCCTTTACAAAGTACCAACAACATACAGCTATGGACTAAGAATAAGACTGCTTGCCACCGTGGAAGCGGTATGCCCACGGTCAACGAAACCGGACCCATGCGTGCAAAAGAAAATGGTGCAGTCATTGAAGCTGCCATGGCCAAACACCGAACACAGGCAGCAAAATCACGAGCCTTCAATTATATGATCCGCCATTTGGCATTTTGATCAATTTATATTGGCAATCAATTGTTTCTTTTTTCCTTTTATTAACGAATGAAACCTAACAATGTACCTACGCCTATTAACGTATCCGCATGAAGAAAAAGTAATTAGAAACAATTGTTTGCGTATAGCTTATGGCTTTCGGTTATTTTCTCTGGGAAACGATATATGGGCATCTCACATGACCTGAAAGTTAACCATGTTCAGAGATGGTGCCGAGTTTGACGACATATGGAACGCCTCATAGTCTCACTGCTAGGTCATGAGGTGCCATAAGTGTGGCTCATGATTACCTTAAATCCGAGACCGGCTTCCAATAGTCTGCGATGCATGTGACCCACCATGGTCAGGCTTCTGTGCATAAGGGGGGGAGGGGTTGAGCTGTTCTCCGAGCTGAGTGATTATTGTGCAGACGTTTCGTTGCCTGACAAGGCAACATCATCAGTGCGGCTTCAGGGGCCTGGTTCGCAGTGCCTCGTAAGCGATTTCAATGTCCAAGTGCATAACTCAATCCCCTTCCTTGGCCCGAACAACGTGCATGTTCTGTGAGCGAATAAACGCGTTGAAACCGCTTCTTTTGTTAAACAGCTGGCTGCCGGACCCGTTACACTGCGTTATCACTGACCTCGGTCCGACTATCGAATCCCATATTTGTTCACCCCAGCCATCGCAAGTGTGCTTCGTTTCCGAGGCTCAAACGGCGCGTCGACTTGTTTCAAAGGAAGCAACAGTCAAAACCATATGGAGGTTTTCTATTTTCGTCTTATTTATGTGTCGTGTTACTTTGTTGATGATTTTGGTCAAGTGTTGAACAACACAACAACAACAAGTTTAAAACATTGCTTCCCGTTTACCCATTTCACTGTTGCAGAAAAAAGACAAATGATGCACACATAAACAATTGAGGCAATCTGTTAGATTGTCGTGGTGTTGATTCCTTTTTGCATCCTGTTCATGAACGTTAGTTTTACGTATACTCATTTGTTTACATCTTGTATGCATTGTGTTTGCGACGAAAAGGAACAATCGAAATGTTAACATCCTGCAACATTTGTCTTCTTTCGGCAATAATGAACCAAAGAAAAGCCTCGTTATCACAATTCTTCACGTTTCAAGTGCTGGCTTTATAAACCACACCTACGCCAGCGCCGGAAGGCGTCAGCAATACGCCGGCGTACCGTATCGATGCTCCGCTGCCATGCGACCACCAGTGGTGGCGCGTGAGCTCTGTTATACCTCGAGATATCTCGCAGGAATGCAGATTCAAAATGGTGACCACTGGATTTCAAGATAAGCACGTAACCCCTCCGACCACCGGTCGATGATGGGAAACTGATGTGCAACGATTGATTACGCGAACCCATCATACACCTGAATAGGTTAGGTTGGATTTTCAAGCACTTTAAGAGCCACTCAAATCAAACTGCAGAGAGAGAGAGTAAGGTAAACTCCGGAAAGAAAATAATGATCATTGTTTCGAGAATGATTCCCCTTAGAGAGACCACATCGGAAGTCTTCCGGACTGAAAAAGACAGGCAGTTGTCGTCAGTGACGCAGGAAATAACCAGGGTTTCCAGAGTGGTTGGCATTTTGCGACTATAGTCTAATATAGCTAAAAGCTTGTAATGACAGAAGTAGTAACGCCTTAAAATTGGGGAGCCGCCATGTTCCAGTAGGGTTCTATGGTCCAACTAGCATTACATTTTCATAAAGTAGTCGATTAAGACAGCTCCTTGTTTGCCGTGGACGTTTGTGAGTCAGAAGTTCTGGACAGATGATGGAGCAGGCGGCTATAGAACAGAAAGCAGCCACTACTGATAGGAGGATGACTACGATTGGCACACAACTCAACATGATTCAAGTCAACCTCAAACCATTTGAAACTCGGTGCTTAAAGTGGAAAATGTATTTCACCACTGACAAATATGGTACAATGGTCCACAAGTGCAATTTGACTCATACCGTCCTGACTCTTGACGGTAGGAGACTTGGAATTGTGATTTCATGCTCATTATAATAATGGGGAACAAGTAGATTACGAGGGCAGGTCATGACTTCTTCATCTATATCTTAACTGTTCAAGACATGCTGGAATATTGTTCGTGTATGGCATCTCAAAAAAGTGGGACCGCATTGCATTGGAGCGGGTGCAGAAAGCATTCAAAAGGCGCTTTCTAGGTGCTTCTTGAAAATTGGAATATTCTAAACGATGTGGCATGCTCAAGTTTGGTCCGCTCTGGGTATTCATCATACGATAACGTCATGTTAGCGTGCAACCACCACCCGTGGGCAGCCCCAAGTGGGCGCACGAGCATGAAAAACGAATCAAACGCATCGAAACAAATTAGTAAAAAACCATAGTTGTCAGGAAGCGTAAATCTTTGCAATGCTCCTATAGGCACTCACACTGTTGTGTTCCAGCTCGGAAGATTAATGTCAGTTCTTCAAACAGGCGGTTCAGATTCTTCTCCAGAGCTGGAACAAAACACTGTTGTAGTGATTCACGGTAGGCACCACACAGATCCGGAGTCAACGAGGAAGACAGAGTGCGAGAGAACTGTGCGCAAAAGTTCTATCGAAAGTAAAAAGGAGAGTAGATGAAACAATACCAAAGCGCCAAACATATGACGGCAAATGACATTGAAACAGAAAATATATCAAAAATAACCGAACTGAAAATGTAGGGCTGAAAGCATGATTGGGAATAAGAGAACCTCGAACCCACTAAGTGAAACAATGAACTATCGGGAATGACGGAAGCGCTGAGTCTATACCGGTAACAAAAAAGGAACCAAAATGTTCGTGTGTTCAGCTGCCGTGGCATTTTCGCTAAGTTTCAGCGCATTCGCTCGTAGTTACGGCAATACGGAACGGAACAAGTACAGTTCTGGCACCAATTGTATCCCGATAGCTTTCAGTGTGGTTGTCCAAACAGTGTCGAAGTAGGGCGGATGTCTCGATATTCGCCGGTAGAACGGAATAAGATTAGTAAGCGATGAAAATCGGAGGAGAACGGACAAAAGATCAATATAGACAAATGGGGCAGCTGAATGCCACACCATTGATTTTGTGACCGCGTCACATGTGACGGTGTAGCCAGTCACTGGTGTATCCCGTTCGAACAACCTCATCATTCAGGAGAACGACATGAAACAACTCGGTGCAGCCTTTCGCCACGCAATTCACTATCACTTGGAGCTTCACCCAACGGAGCACAAGGCTGGTGAACAAGGCATAAGAATGAGTCACCAAGAGTGACTCGTGTTCGACAAGCACTCTAAGCTTTTATCAGTTGATCACACACCATGTTCCCCACATGGATGTATCAAGATGGTTTTTCATGCTTTCAAATGGTGTCCAACGGGTGTGAACGCTACCAAATGCGTACTGTCCGCTGAGCGACAAATCCCACATCAGGCAATAGTATTCCGTTCTGTGAATTCATCTGATATACCACTGGCTAGTGTGCGAGACCGGTCACTCAACGAACAATACGTAGTTAGAGAGACTGCATCTATGGGATGCAAGTCGATAGCCATTTTGAGAGATCTATGGTAGAACATGATTTCCTCAAGGAGGAATTTGAGGGCACACAGATGAATCTTCAGACATTTTGAAGTATACGTTGTGTGGATGGATTGCAACACGGAATCAAAATGTTGACTGGGATTTCCACTGAAGTGAAACTTGGCCTTTTGTTCACGAGGACCGTAGATGAAGCAGTAAGAAATTGGGTGTTGCCCGCCTGAAAACACTGCACTCCTAGGAAGCTTTTAGATGTTATTTTATCTCATCAGATAGCGATAACAGGCATCGTGACCCGGTGGCTTCGGGGCAGCAGTCACAACTAATATCTCAATGGTCCCCGGTTCTGTACCTGCTATCCCTATCTGATGAGATGAAATAACATCGAAACACGTCATAGGAGTGCAGTGTTTTCGGGCGGGCAAAACCCGATTTCTATCCATTAGACATGAAATTGACCAAGGCAATGTGAAACGCCAAAAAGTCCGATGCTCAAAACTAGGTGACCAAATTCAGTGTTACTGGATCGGATGCAACAAGCATCGGCGCACAAATAAGATCAATGAACAATTCTCTGAACCATGCAGTCACGCCCGCTGCATAGCAGCGTTGCAACGACTTCACAATGGGCCCCAGTATGTTCAAGAACGGCCAAGTCTATAAAAATCAGCAAAAACTTCAGCAATGTGTGTGGCACTCATTTCGGTGATGCGAACACCAAAGTTGATGCAGCTTCCACAGTCTATTGCCAATTAGTGGTTTGGTCACCGGTGTCGTATTGGCCCAACCGAGTACATTATAGACCAAAAGGTGTGACATTATGACTCTATATGGTTGGCGGCACCCGGTTTCGGATTTGCCTGTCATTGTGGCCTCCACAGCGACAGTCATAGGACGCCTGCGGCTACAGAGAGACCATGGGTGGGTTGCGCCACACCACCCACACACCCCATATCCAGTGTGAACCCAAAGGAGTAAGATCGGGAGGCATGTGGATGGGAGTCACGTTTCATCAACGGAGCCGGCCCACACTCCCTCACAGGCAAACCACAAGCACGCTGTATTTGGGAATCAAACACACACAAGGCGGTGACTAGACCGTAGTCCGCTCCACACTGAGTGCATGGAACCACTCTTCGAGCCTAGCACGATCACAAGGACCCTGCACCCCGTTCCCTCCAGCAACGACTAACTGTTTCCTAGAGCCAGTATGGACGAGGTGGTGGGTAATAGACAGGTAGGCACCTTGTCAACATGCACATCAAGGGCAGCCACACCGCGGATATCAAACAACGGCCAATCACTTGAAATAACATTATAAAAAGGTATATCTGTTAAAGCATACGGCTATGTCGACCTAACTCTTCGCCAAATTAGCATATGAGGTAAGTTGGTTATCAACGAAGAAGCGACAAGTACAAAATGTCCACAAGTTCCTCGAAAAGTGCTACAAACGCAATAAAGTTACCAAAGATAAGCGCAATTAGCGTAAGTAACGTGTGCAAGTTAAGAGAAAATTATTCATGTAAGCAGAACGAACCAATTAAAGTGGAAGGGAGCTATGTGGATTACATACTCCAGTTTAGACGATTGTTATCCCCGGAGAGTAAAAAAAAAGTTTTCCGGTGTTTCCAGAAACACCAAAAAATGAACGCTTTTTTATCACTAAAGATAGGATGATAGGTTACGTGGAAATCTCACCAAACAAAATGGTAAATGTGTTCCCATCTCCAATAGGTGCATTGTGTACCATTTTTTCGGGCAATGAACAATTGTATGGTTTTAGCCCGGACTTGTGTGAGGCGACGTTACTGTTGCTACCATCACCACCAACACTAAGCATTGACGAAGTGACCTCGATGGTGACGGAACGTTTGTAATCGAATTGTTCACATCGGCGAGTCAACTAACATCTCAAACGTATTATTGAGAAGAAAGCCTACGCAAGCAAAAGAAATTAGAAATGCAAATGAAAGCAGTTGCATTATGTTCGATGTGTTGCTTCATTGGTAGCAGTGAAAGATGCAGTCATTTTCCTTGAAGAGCACTTTTACAAACTATATAGTAGCTTGCTGTGTAGGATAGGTACAAGAGTATGCCGTATGTCATCCGAATGATTTCTGTGAATGCTACCTCGGTGCTCAGTGGAACAACGGACAAGCAAGCAAGTATTTGGTCACCAATCAGTGCCATAAGTCTCGTGAATCGCGTTGGTCCGTTGGAAAAAGATGTGGACAGAAAGATACGCAACACGAAAAATGGCAGAGGAAGGAAGGAAGGGGACAAAAGAACTGATCAGAGTTGTAAGGTTGCAGCGGAAGACACTTGTTTCTCACAGGAATACGAACAAACAAATAGGTACCAGCGCATGGAACGTTCAGTCTTATTACAACGGAGATTCGAGACCCATAACAATAACAAGGAATGATGTGATAGCCTAGACCTTTTGTCGGAGTACGCAGGATGTCTCCTGTGGAACTGGCGTAGCTCCCATAGTGAATATATGAGTACCGATGAAATACAAGGTTATCGAAAACAATTGCTTCCACAGCTTTGTCCTCAGTACGATGTCATGTAAACTCAATGGCTTTCGTCTGCTCTAAATTTCAGCGATGACACTGTATAATGGTTGTTTTTGATATATGCAACACATAAATACAGATGAGCAGGTGGTTTTCCACAAGTTCGTTATATTTTAGCCCAAATTTTTAAAAACAGGAGTAAAATAGCTAAAGGATGCTTGATGCATACGAGGCAGATAAATAACCTGTGTTGACAAAGGTGTGTTCGATACCAAGGTACAATCGACGTGGTGTGCGTGCTGAAAGAGACATAAATGAAAACAGGCTAAATAAATGGGATGCTAAAAAGTCCAAACAGAAAGAAATCCAGCTAACCAAAGAATGAGAATGAATTCAGGCTGAAGGGGATGGTAAATGACTTAGTGACGTGAACCTACATCTATGATAAGTGTAAACGAGGGACAGTATAACGCGAACGAAGAGACAGCATAACCCTTTAATCTAATAGCCCATGGGGATGTGACCCGCATCGTTGGAAAGAGTCATCAACAGTACGCCAGCACACTGTAACGACGCTTCGCTGCCATGCGACTACCACCGGTCGCGAGGATGCCCTCCTCTACGCGAATTCGAACCGATAACCTAAGGATTGCAAGTCACGCGTACAATCCTTTCGGACACCGGCCGCATCGCTGGACAGAAAGAAAGAACCGATAAACATTGAAAGAAGTGTTGATACTGGCATTTTAAAAATGGCAGGCCCAAGTCAAACGAAATTGGTCGGTTAAGGAAGCGTGAACTCAAAAATCATTTGTATGCATATTCACCAAAAATGTGTACCTTATCACGTAACAGATGTGACAAACTGTCTGACAGAGCCGAAGGTAATGACCTCGAACAGTCTTGAACCAGGCGAAGAATGGTACCTTGAATTGGTTCAATGAATCGCGGGATATCTGGGAACAAAAACAGAGAAGGCATGTAGGCCCGATGCAATAAACGTAGGGGACGACAGAAAAGGCACGCAACTAGCTCCTACCAGGGGGACCCATTGCATTAGAGGACGCGACCAGCAAGCATTACGTGCCGCCACACAGTGTTTGTCTGCGTTCGAGTGGTATTCACAGCTGACATGAGCCAGAACTGAGGTTTTCACTACTGGCACTAATAGAGGATAACGCTACCATTTTTCAATAGATCACCAAACGGTATGTGATCTACGCAGCATAATAGTTGGACAAACTGCTTTTATTTCTAAGTAACCTAATAAATCCCCATACTACTTACAAATAATAAGTAGCCGCCTTAGCAGCTTACATACCACCTCGATTGATGGCGGCTTGCAAAGGAAGTCGTTGCTCTGGGGGCCAGCCCTGTCCTCCGCACATTTATATGATGCAAGACAGTGGAGGATGAGCCGCGCTATATCGCAGTTAGATATCAGTCATGGTGATCGGATGCCGTCGCCCATGGCACAGTGACATATGTGGCTGACTCGCAAGAGTAAGATCGGGGGTTAGAATCCGGCAAAATTCGGCTGGTGCGCGCTACTGGAAAGTCCTAATAGGACGAAACGGCCGTCTAGCGCTTTCTTGGATGTGCAGTAGCTGTCAGCCTATGTCGAACTGTGCCGAATCTATACAAAAACTGCTTTTAGTTAAGAAACGAACTGGGGTTCATTCAGCAGTAACGCATAGCCAACTTTTTGTGACGGTATGTTGTTGACAAAAGGTGTAGGCGCCTTGACGCTGAATGTTTGCCTAGGGCATTAAGATTTTCTGGTAAGTCACGTTTCTCTCCCCCTTATTGTTTCTCGTTCCGTAGATCACCATGATTGTAGAGCAGCGGATCACCACTATTGTTATTCATTATGAGGAGTGCATAACGAACCTAAAGATAGAAGGGAATCAAATAGGGAAGGTGATCGCAGAACAACTGACAGCGTGGATTTGGTTCGGCTTATTACGTTAAGCCTATGACAGCCAAACACCGATGTAGGCGGAAGAATTACCATGAAAACCGCAGCCTGCATGTCAAGATCATAGTCAGATGAGCACATAATATGTGCCGTCTGCCGAGATCCCAGATAACTCATTATTTTTCTACCCATGCGACTAAATATGCAAAGCTCCATGTTTTCCTTGTAACGTACACCACGGTATCGAGACTTGTTCCCGATAACCTTATCTGACGTCTGCTCCTAAGTGGCTTCTCATTGTTCTCCTAGCCATGTCTACGTGGTTTCATCCCAAACTCGCTGTGACGATTGTGCACTCCCACCCCGTGCTACTAGTCCCAAAGGTACACAAGCCCTTGTTATATTTGGCTTGCTCCGTGTAAATTCCCACTCGATATGGGCTTGCTTTTATCCCAAACCCGCTGTGACGACTGTGCATCTCCCAACGAGTGCTACTAACCACAAGGGCACCCAGGCTCTTGTTAGTCTTTGATCCCATATCCACACCGAGACGCGTTGAGCGCATTCCATTTGAATGTAATGAGAACTTGTATCTTCCTGTGCGCTGGGCCGCGGACCAATGGGATAGGATTTCGGACACTGTAAAAAGAACCCTCGTATTCCTCTCTTTGAATCTGTGCTGTGTGGCCTTGCTGTACGGTAGCAAGTGCGCTGGCGCTATTTCACTGTGGAAATGTGCGAAGATGCGGTTGTTTCAAGATTGAACGGGCACTGTTGAGGTATGTAAATATGTATTTGAGTTTTATTTTGTGTAATAGTACCGTAGTTAACGTCTCGGCTTCCTTTCTTGGCTAGACCCGGGGGTTTTTACGAGTCACTCGAGCTCCAAGCGAATCTGTCGCTTACAACCGAAGCACAACAGATCCAGTTGCCAAGACGCAGGATAAAATTTTGTTTCATTTCGATATTTCGCTTCTTTCATTGATGGTCACACTGGGTCGATCTGCTGCGGTGCGACCGCAACACAAGGCGAATTGTCACAGACATAACTCGAAAGAGTTGAACTGTGCGACATACTGTATTGTTTGAATACTTATTCTATATGCATATAACAATGGCCTTAGAGATGGAGTAATGCGGTTTTGGCTCGTTTGTTTTTAAGCCACCCCAACACATGACCAGATGGGAATTGTGGATAAAATATTTCGACGGGAAACTCCACATGGAGGAAAGTCCCCAAAGGATGATTTTACTGATATTACGCTTATCTATATGTTTACTATCACCCTCTCCGTCTGTCGAACGGTGGCGGAGTGGTCTGCTAGCCAGGGTTGCAGTCATAAGGGCACCGGTTCGAATCCGCGTAGAGGCGGGCGACTCCGCTGTACAATTTGATCAGACTACCAAGTTGAACTGTGTAGAGCGCTATTCAGAAATTTACCATTTATTCATTATTATCTTTTGTCTGTGGGACACAGCTGATTACGACAGGAAATAGAGAAAACCAAGAAAACCTTCTCGTATACGTTGTTTCGTTTTCACACAATAGCAATCATCTCGTGCCCGTGTGGTGTTGTCCATGGTGATGTTGAATGCTTGCTCAAGGCAGTCAGGCTTAATTTCCAGCCCCTTCTCACTCGCATTAGTATAATTCCATGACCGTCGCGTATCTGTATAATCCAGCAGAATATTACTGTCATCAATGACAATGAAGTGACCGCCAAATCCGCCTGACCGAGAAAATCAACCACTGCAGAAGTTGGGGCTCCGTGTGGTCTTAATGCCAAAACAAAGTTTAAACGAACCAATTGAGAGTGGATGTCTCACTTGGTACAGAGAACACTCAAATTCATGTGTTTCTCTCTAGAGGCCCAAACTAGGTGTAATGAGCATAGAGGTACGTGCAAACCATGAGTGGCAAACCAGTGAGGATGTGCAGTGAGCACTGAATCTATATTAGCAGCGAAAGGTTGCTATGTGAGAGAGAGGAAGATTACAATTTAGGTGCATGCGCTGGCTGTCCACGGTAGTGCTTTTGCAGTAAGATCCTGTTCGGAAAGAAGTTCAAGGAAACTAAGGCACACAACGGGAAACTTACGGTTAGCAAAGGCACTTTCAAGTTCGGCCTTCAGGATCGGTTTCATACGGTCGGAGAGCAGCTTCGGTAGTTGCTCCGACCGCACACTAGATTGGGAGGTGGAGGCCGTCGGTGGTTGGAATCGTTTACAGGATGCTGTGAGTTCGTTTAGGCTAGACGAAAGTCTATTCACTAGGAATTCCATCTGCGTGAAACGTTTCGCGAAGTCCCCTTGTTGAGTTCGAACTATAACACGAGAAAATAAGGGGATAATTAGCCAGTTAAAGAGGCGTGATTACCGACTGGACGCAAAGTGGGAGGGAGGGAATGATCAATTGAATGAAAATGAATGGAAATAAGAGTTGAAAAGTCATGCTTTGGTAAACGTACGTTGCAAGAGAACTTGCTTGCCCCAGTTAGGTATTACGCATTCATCTGTGGACCCGGGAGTGCTTTTGTTCTTTGGAGCGGGATACACTTGCATCGAGGACTGCCTGGATCCGGGTGTTTGCGCTTCCATTCCAGCTTCGGAGAATAGGGAAGCGGACGATTGTGAATTTGAAACCCGTTGGGGACCGAAAGTAGGACTTCTTCTCAAACTCTCAAGTAATTGCGAGTGCGATTGTTGGAGAGAACTTAGTTGGCTTTGCGTTTCGCTTAAACGGGCTGAAGCATAAAGGAACAAATAAATAAACAAAGAACCTATGTTTGACAGATGCGCCTGTTTTGGCATAAGCAAACTATTGACAACAGTTAGTCGATCAGATGGCAACGGTACACACAAACAGGAACTGGACCAAGCGTTTTGAAGATTTTGACTCAAAACAATCTCTCGAAACATAGATGGAAGCCAGTACAAATAACATAGGAGCAAATAGTTGCTTACAATCCGCTTGTCCACTCCATACCATTACAAAAAATGCCGTGTCCGTGGAACATATTGTCCTCTTGGTATGATTATCTACACCTGAGACACAAAAACTAGAAAGTGATGATACAAATATAGATACATACTACATCTTAGATGGTCGAGTCTAGGATCCGAGGGATAATTTATGATCCGAAAATCTATATATTTTAATTGAAAAAATTAGTACCCGAGGAACATTTTAGCAGAAAAGTTAGCAGGACTGCCGCATGATTTAATTCCGGAAAATTTTCTCTGTATTTGCAAGACCGAATACGTGGGCATGACAGGACGACAATTAAGAGTGAGGGTCGCGGACCACATACCGGGGTGGGTTAGTAAACAGGTGTCCCAGATGACTGCGTCTGCCACCCCGAATGCGCAGCCAATGACGCGAAATGACGTTCCATTCAAACGGCGGGCGTCATTAATCACACACCACCTGCTGGCTAACAACTAAGGTGTAGATCGTGCATAAGCCTTCCATGTTATCTCAATAAACACCTTAAGTTTGCGATATGCTGATGCTGTGGCAATAAAATAATTTAGCCCATCTCTGTGTGCAGAAAGACGCATTTGTGACTTGCTTTGCCGTGAAAGCGGGCCGGAAATAGTGTGTGTGTGTGTATTCAGTTTGGTCGTTTTGTAATTTCAACTGCCACCATTTCAGGATCTGCTTTTTAAAATCATTTTACTATTATAAATTTATGTCGCATAAACGATGAAACTGTACAAATCATCGCTCTCGCTTATGAGGCCACATACCGCTTGTCGGTCAATATACGCATTTATTTATTTATTAGGTGCGCAAAAGCAATATATATATATATATATATATATATATATATATATATATATATATCTGGGGTACAGATAATATACCATCGAAAACAGGGCTAAATAGAAAAACACCTGTTTCGCCAGGTAGCGCATGCAATCGCATTGTAAATGCGATGCTCATACGGATATGTTGCGGTCCAAGTGTTATAATTTCAAAAGAAAAACTGGGCTAGGAAGGAATTGAAGGGAGTGAACCAGCGGCATCCTCATCATCAAGACCCTAATATACGAAGTGCACACAATTTGAATGCGCTCTGCACAGCAATGTACAGAATGGGTCGTTACGACGCCTTGATTGACTTGACTGCGTAGATATTCTGTGATTAGGACCAGTGGTTAAACAAACCACATATCTAATCTGCGTTAGGTTCTACAGAAGAGTCACAAAGATCAAAAGTCGACTGCAGTTGGGTTTCAAAAGTGCAGTCAACTCGGTCAGTAAATCCATCCTCTGCAAAATACTTGATGGAGTCAAAATAGGCTTACAAGCACGTAACTAGATGCATCATCAGCGTTTATATTGCGGATGCATGAAATGAATGGGACCAGTTAAAAATAAATGAACACAGATTGAAGAATTAAATAGTCGGAGATATGTGGATGTCATTGAAGCAACCGCGTGCGCAAAGCATTCGTGACCTTTATAGGGCTGACAAGGAAGCAGGTAAGGCAAGATTGTGTTATGATACGAAGAAGTGCTAGAGAATAAAATGCTAAATTTTGAGCGTGTCTGAAAGGCAGATAACGTTTGTGAGCGAACACCACGTAGCGTATGAGAGCGATTAATTAGGTTCTTAAAAGAAAAATGCACGCAAACCATCTAAATGCTTACGAACAATAAAAACAACTATGGAATCTCTCGGCAAGCCACCACATCTGGAAATATGTTTAATCGATCGCACAAGCATAACATATTCCTTTTGCAGCAGCCCAGGGAAGAGTACGGGGGAACGGTACAGCCAGTGCGTAGTATACATGAAGTTACAAGTCTCAAAGTTAAGATTCGCGGTACGGATAACTTTTTAGTGGGAAAGCATAAGAAGATAACCACCTGACCTTATGAAAGATCTCCAAAACGTGTATGGACCAAAAGAGGTGTTGGGAAAATAGACACCAAGATATCAGACAGCGGATCCCTCGAGGCATGAAACTAAGCTAACCTGGAGACCATTATGTTCAAGTCAAGTCAAAATAGGCTTTATACACCTAAATAGTTGCATCATCAGCGAATGCACTATCACTGCGGATACATGAAATGAATGGGATCAGTTAAAAATACATCAACACAGACTGAAGAATTCAATAGACAAAGATATGTGGATGTTATTCAAGCAACCGCGTGTAAACCTGATCAACGATGTGAACGGTAGAGATGCATTGTTCTCAAACGTACTACATTGCATCAGCGTCAACGGTGAGGTCAAGGAGTTAGCGTCCAGCTGGCAATCTTTTCCTAAATTCTAGCCCCTAGACAGGAAGTCAAGAAATTTTACTGCATGTTCATCTTTCTTTCAGTAAAAGGTTCATTAGTTCAATGATGTCTTAAAGGGAACTGGTTGGCTGCATCCGGTTCCGGATTTGCCTGTCATTACGGCCTTCACAGGCACAGCCAAATGACGCCTGCACCTACATAGGGACCATGGGTGGCTTGCGCTGCACCACCCACAGCTCCGTCCACACTCCGCTATTTCTAGTGTAAACCCGAAGGAATAAGACCAGGAGGCATGTGGATGGGAGCCACGTTTCATCAACGGAGTTGGCCCGCACACCTCCAGTGTTCACAGCAGCAGAATTTCAGTGTATCAAATTTGGAAATGATGGGTACCAGATGTATACAAAGAAGAGGCTGGACCGTAGTCCACTTCACATCAGACGGAAATACTATTTGAGTACAGCACGGTCAGGAGAACCGTGAACCCCGTCCGCTCCAGTAACGACCAACCGTCTGCTGGAGCCAGTATAATAGAGGTACCGGTTTTCGGACAGGTAGGCAACTTGTTAACATTCACACCAGGCCCAGCCACACCGGGGAATACCAAACAACCAACATAGAAAATTAAGGAGAATAAACACACAATATTGGCACGGGATACGCTGTAGAATAAGAGAACTAAGCAAATTTAATAAGTTGGAATACATGAAATCCAGGTTAAGAAGATTTAGTTTGAGCGTAAGTCTGCGTAACACAATTGCAGTGAAGGAGCATGGTGTATGATGCAATATCAACCTAGGCATGAGGATGTTTAGGATGTAAAAGTCGGACGTAGGTCACAAAACGGAACGCATTTAGGATTCTTGGAATGAGGATAGATGATAGAAGCAGTCATTAATAGCACCTACAACCTACCCAATACTGACTCCATTTGTTGAGAATGTCTTTGCGACTGCTCCACTAACGATCGGAGAAGACCCATTGTCGTCGGGGAGAGTGCACGAGGAGTGTCCGTTCCGACTCCGCCGATAGTGAAAGTGGTCAGCTCCAGTGGGACACGGTCTACAGGAGTTTGACTACCGTTTACTGAGTCAGATGACGAACACAACGAGACAGTAGACCAGTTCACATCTCTCCGTGGATATTTGCCACCGAGACCGCAGACTTCAGAGAGATTGCGAGGTGGTCCACTCGTATCCCCTGGACGTAGTTGTTGACCTGTAGAACACAAATTACACTGAATTTCGGTTGAGGTGGTAACAGTAGCTTGTCAACGGGAGGGATATCACTCAAACAACAAAATGCGAAAAAACAGTGATCTGATCCAGGATAAACAACAGCAAGGAAAGATGGAAAAGGAACAGACAACCAGATTGTACTTTATGAATAGAAAGATAACCAGTCAGCCTTGACGCGGCGAACAGATTACCGGTAGACAATTCATTCAAGGTGCAAAGGGTGCGGCTGATACTCCCCACGAGTAGTTCAGCGAATGGTGATGAGAGGGTGGCTCAACCATTGTGATAAAAAATATGTTTAAGATGTGACAAAGTGCGTACTGTATTGTTGAAACATCCATGCGCTCGATAAACATTTTTCCAGGAACGGTAAATAATGGCCATGTCTATGTTGGCGTGTCTCGCTTCGACGAGAATAAACATTTATTTTGAGCAGTATACTGCATTCTTTAAAGTGTATTTCATGCACCGGTCACGGAAACGAATAGAGTAGCCATGGATCAGGAAATAAGACATTTGGGTATACCCTATGCAGTGTAAGAAAGGGAACGAATTGAGTCCGAAGGTGAGGTCACCAGAGCAACCCGACAATACACTCAAGAAGCAATCATTTTGACGTGACTCCTAAGACTACTGATATATGTGAGTAGTTAAATTAATACTAGTGACAAGATGCAGATCGAATAAGTTGGTGCAAACTGGGGACAAGATGCTTCAACGAGTTTAGTTGTTATAGCATGAAAACAACAGTGAGGAAAGCAACGTGGCGGACTCATGGCCTTGTGCTATATACTAAACAGCGTACATAGCTGTCGTGCCCATGCTGATCTGACCTATATCTGGGGCTCACAGTGAAACAGATGATGGCTCCCTAATCACTAATCTTCAACAACGGTTCGGGCGATGGGCCGAACATTTTAACTCGCAGTTTTCCTGGCCGCCAGCTCCATCTGTTACCCCTGGGGCGCGTACTGGCGCTCAGTGGATTCCCCACTGATTCTCCGTCTCAGCGGGAAATCAGGTGGGAACTCTTCTACCTAAAGCGTTATAGGGCACCCGGCCTTGATAGTCTACCTTTTGCTCTATTTGAAGATAGGGGTTCTTCGCTGGTGCCAGAATTAAATAAATAAATGGTTGGCGGCATCCGGTTTCGGATTTGCCTGTCACTGTGGCAAGCCACAGGACGTCTGCGCCTACAGAGGGACCATGGATGGCTTGCGCTGCACCACCCACAGCTCCAACCACATACCCCATATCCAGTGTAAACCCGAAGGAATAAGACCGGGAGGCATGCGGATGGGAACCACGTTTCATCAACGGAGCCGGCCCACACTCCTTCACAGGCAAACACAAGCACGCTGTATTTGGGGAATCAACCGCACACAAGGCGGTGGCTGGACCGTAGTCCGCTCCACACTGAGTGCATGGAACCGCTCTTTGAGCCTAGCACGGCCACAAGAACCGTGCCCCCCGTCCCCTCCAGCAACGACCAACTGTCTCCTGGAGCCAGTATGAACGATGTAGTGGGTAATAGACTGGTAGGCACCTTGTCAACATACACATCAAGCGAAACCATACCAGGGATATCAAACAACAGCCGTTCACTTTAAACGACAAGCTGAAATAAAATAAATCCAATAATGCATACAGATACGGTGGCATAACTCTTCGCTAAATTACCATATGAAGTAAGTTGGTTAGCAACAAATCCGTGATAAGTAAGAAATGTCCACAAGTTACTTAAAATGCTACAAACGCAACAAAATTACCGAAGATAAGCGCAATTAGTGTAAGCAAAGTGGCCAGTTAATAGAACATTATTCAGGGAGGCAGAACAAACCAAATAAAGCGGAATGAAATTTAGCCAGCTAAAAGAGACCTAGTTTAAGTGTAAGTTGGCTTAGCCCAACTGCGGTGAAGAAGCATCAAGAATGCAACATCAGCCTCAGCATGGGGCACAAATAAATAAATAGTTGTATATTTACCTACCGACGGTACATAGCCCCATAAATGGGCGCGATCATTTGTGCAGTGAATACGTTTCATTATATTAAAGAAAATTTTGTTAATAGAATTTCGGATCATGATTTTTTTTCCTTGGGTGCTAGACCCGTGCACCTCATATGTTAAATTTACGGATGTTTGTATCATCAGGAGTAGATAATAAAGGGAGGGACTACTAGGCTGCAAAGACACAGGATTTGGTATGGTATGTAATGACATGTAGTGGGTAAGCTAGCTATAAGCGAATATCTTCCCATGTTTTTCATACCAACTTCTGTCAATGCTTCTAGAGTTTGCTGCGAGCCAAATATCTTCAAAGCATTTGCTATAGTGAGGAACGTCTGAAGATTTCGAAACGTGACATAGCTTGCACTCACGCGTATCTGTAGGGGTAGTTTGTTCCACAGATCAGTGTATCTCATTAAGAAGAAATTCGATCGAGTTTTATGACTTGAAAGGTTTGTACGTGTCAAGTAGCCGCCATTACGTGTGGGGTAGACAGCAGTCTTCCGTAGTTCAAGTGCGGTGCCATCTGCGTAAATCCGTTGGTTTATAATATTGTAGAAGAGAACGAGGTTGTTCTTTACTCGTCTCAGCCAAAGTGGATCCAGCTGGAGTTTTCGACAGCGATCATAATAAGTCACGTTTGAGCAGCGCCCCATGACCAGCTTGGTAAATGATCGTTAGACATTTTCCAGAGCCATTCTGTCTTTCTTTCTCAATTGGCTGTGAACGATAATACAATATTCCAGAGTCAGTCGTACGCTTGTCTTGAATGACTCAAGTCGTGTTTCAGGTAGGGAAAAAGTTCTGGTGATATATCCGCATAATTGCCTTGCTTTCGCAACCTGATAAAGAACATGTTCGGAGAAATTGAAAGAGCTGGAGTATCTAATTCCTAAGTTCTGAACTGAATCGAATGTTGGGATCACGTTCCTGGCAAGTATGATGGAGCCTCCTGGGATGCAGCATCTGTACCCAAGTACTTGGGATTTCACTGCGGAGAACTTCATTAATAAACGCTCACTAGCTATATTTAGTGCGGATAGGTCTTCAGATGTTCCCAAACATATATGTAGTTGGTCTGGATGAAATGAGTAAACCAGTTTGACATCATCTGCAAACAGATATGGGTGTCCATGTTTGATCCGGTCACATACATTGTTTACATAGAATAAGAAAAGTAGTGGTCCGAGCACACTTCACTGGAAGACGCCCCTGGTTATTTGTTTCGGTGCAGAATATTGCTGGCCGATTTTAACTACCTGAGTTCGATCGTTTAGATATGAGTCGAACCAGTTAAGCAGAGGATTTCCAATTCCATATGACTCTAGAGCATACAGCAGTGGCATGTGTGGCAGGCGGTCGAATGCCTTTTTCATGTCCAACAGAATTATAATAATTGCTATTCCTCTGCTAATCATAGTCGTGACGTAATCGAGGTAACGCAGGAGCGTTTTGAGGGAAAGCCATGCTGTGAGGGTTGATCAGATCCAGGCTTGTAAGATATTGAACGATGTTCTCCTTGAAAATTCGCTCTAGGGCTTTGGAAGCAGCAGAGGTGTGATTTATTGGGTGGTAACTTGACACTTGATTTCTCGGGCCACCCTTGTGCTTAGGCATTATGATGGATTGCTTCCATTAAGTTGGAAAGCAGCCGGTAGTGAGTGAAAGTGTAAAGTGAAAGTGTAAAGTGTAACAATAGAGCGAGGTTTTTTCCGCCGAGTATTATCTCAGTTGGGGAGATGCAATCTGGGCCCGGACGAGTTGATGGTTTTATAGATGTGATGGCATTTTGCAGCTTTTTAACGTCACAGGGATATTACAGCATAGCTCGGTCGTTCTTTTTGGAAGTGGAGAATGAAACAGCTGAGGGTTGGGGACATAGCAAAAAACAAAACTCGAGTTGATAGCCTCGCATGAGATCGGTATTAGAGGGGAAACCTAAAGGGAAGGGTATGGACAAAGAAAGTTAAAAGACAAACGCCAGTGCGGCCGGCTCCAAGCCATATCAGCAAGGGTGTCCAATCAAACATGCTCCCCGTCCTTAGACCCCCAACCAGGCAGTCGGGATGCACCAACCGACGCCAGTCTCAAAGTGAGGGTGTTCAATCAAATACACCAAGTCATCGGTTGGCCTCCCCTTCTCCTCTGCCAACTGCACTCCCGGCGCGCAAACAATGCACGTCGCAGGAGTCGGTTTGCTGGCCTGCGCAACACGTGGCCCAACCATCGGAGCCTGATGCGTGATATAATGGTGCTGAGCGGTTCACTCGCTCTTCCTGTACCAAATACGCGACGCCGAACACGCTCATTGCTCACGCGGTGCTACCACCAGACATGAGCTAAGGTGCGGAGGCAGCGATGATCGAAGGTGACGAGCATCTTTATGTCAGTCGAGCTGACGGGCCAGGTTTCACAATTGTATAAGAGGATTGTACGGACGACTGCGTTACAAACTCTGCCCTTCAGGGCGATAGTGATATCGTGTCTGCGCCACAGTTGGCGATGATTGGCAAAAGCACCTCGAGCTTTTGCTACAAGGTTCCTAATCACCTCTTCGATTCCACAGGCGCTAATATAGCTGCCAAAGTACTTGAATTAATAAACGACACCTAGCTGATAAGCACCAAGGGTTAGCGCAGGGGTAGGTCACCGCCAATTTTGGAGAATTACCTTGCATTTCGATGGAGCAAAGCATAGCCCGAAACGATAGACAGCCAGTGCTAATCGCTCCAGTGCTCCTTGGCATGTTTGGGGGCTGTCTCAGACTACGGCCATATCGTCCGCATACTCCAAGACAAAAAGTCGCTCGTCGTGTGCAGCGAATGCTTTTTCCATGACTTCGTCAATTGCAAAGTTAAACAGGAAGGGTGACAGCGGACAAACTAGTCCCACATCCCTGGTGATACGGAAGAGTGGCGATAGTTTGCCATAAACTCTCACTCTATCCAAACTATGCGCACATAGCGCTTTGATAATGTTTACGTATTTATCAGGCATACCAATCATCAGCAGATATTCCCAAAGTGCACATCGATCGACTGAGTTGAAGGCACCTTTTATGTCAAGAAACATGACAATAGTGGGACGCCAAAAAACATGGCGGTGCTCCAACAATTCACGCAAAGGGAAGAGGTGGACGATGCAACCCCTCAAAAATTGAGTGGGAAAAATGCAGGGATGGGAGAGAGCCACACCGAAACCCCCACCCCACTTCGGTGACGGTACCAGTGACCATATTGGTGGAGGCTGACTTCAAAGTCAACTGAGGCCCCGACTGAGATTGCGTGTCGCAATACAAGACACAAAGCGGGTGCTCCAAAACCCGAAAATGGACGAAGTGCTTTTGCCAGATCTGCATTATGTCTGCAGTCTGTGTGCAGATAGCGCCTGAACTACTGTCGATCATCGTCCTCAGCGGATCCAACCTCGGTCCATACACCGCTTTCAAGGAGTCAAAGAATTCCTTGTGTTGGCGGCGTTCGGCATATCGTTCCATCTGCTCCGTCCACCATTCATTTTGATGCAATAGAGCTCTCGGGTCAATTGCCGACGAAGTTTGCGAAACTGTCCAAATTACGTCCTTTAGTTCAGTTTAGACGATTAACTTCGAGAAGTCTGTAAGAGAGCTCCCTGAAATTGAGCAAAAATGGGCACTTGTCTCCATCCACCAAACAGTATGTGTACAGAGTTCCCATCGGAAACCGCATGCGATCTGTATTCTGACAGTTGGTGCACATCTAAGCTCCATCTAAGCTCGGCTGATGGCCTCACTGCCGTGGTTTATACCAAAGAAAACATAAAATGTTCAGTGACAGGAGTCTTCAAATCAGGTGGTCGACTCTCATGAAATTAAGGGTGTAAGAACAATAGACGTTTAGTTAGTTGACAGTGCAGGGGACTGGAACAAGGTGAGCAATGCACAGTTAATCACCACCTAGTCAAGTTTTAAAGGTTAATAGAATGAGTACTGTTATAGTTCAAGTGATCAGCATGCAAACTGAAGACATGGTCATTCTACAGGGGTCCAGTTCCACAAAGTATATATGGTGAACGTTCAAGCTGTGTACATACGGTCAACTAAGAGCAGTGGTCAGGAATTAGAGCCGATTCAATTTGGAGATTTAGGAGTGTACAACGGATAGGCATTCAGCTACTGCTGCTTACAAAACCATTTGGTTTCATGTAGCAGACGCATGAAACTGCTTGCGTAAGCGTGCCAAAAACTGAACAGACAGAGTTAGATTAATCTGCCGTAGTAATTCGCAATTTAAGCACCTCCCGGAATGTGAAATGAGAATTGACGTTGGTGAAATGCGACGGTTCATGTGCCTATGTGATCCACTAACACAAGTTAAGTGGCGAGACCAAAACGCCTCAAGGTCACTAACACCAGACAAATTAGTGGTTAGAGGTCAGTCAAACTCAGTCTCAATATCCGGTCCACAGAACAGTGGCCTTCTGTCGAAAATCTAGTCACAGGAAATAGAGGTTTGCAGGTTGGTGTAAAACGCGACAGCTATGGGTCAATCATGACAGCCGGAGATATCAACTTCTGATCAACAATTTGTTGTCGTCCAGCTGAGACAATCTAGATCGTGGTTACTGGGGTGAAAGCAATGTAAAACCATCTGTGACCATGAAGGTAGGATCGGTAACAACACTGATATCAGGCATTCTTTACACAGTGTTTTATCCAACTGCAAATGTACACCATTTCCCGGCTAAGTTGTCCTCTTGGGCAACAGAAATAATATGAGGGGGCATTCAACATGAGTCTACTCAATTAATTTGTTCCGTGCGTAGGAGCTAAAGCGTCCCACCTGCACCCCTATGACTTAGTGCGTCTGAGGTCCAATTGGCTGAAGGCGACGGGCTTTACACGCACACCTACACACCAGCACAAATGACTGGCGTACGCACGGCAAAAATTAATTGACTAGACTCATGTGGAATGCCCCTTCAGATTATTTCTGTTGCCCAGGAGGACAACTTGATCGGGAAATGGTATAGTTCCTCAACACGGCGACACTACAGAGCCATATATGTCCGCACATGGGCCCACGGCTCGTCTGTCATATCTTATCTAGCTAGATTTCTGCTTGATCCGAATATTATTATTCAAGAACTAAAGAGCAAATAATGTTAGTGATCCTGTATCACACATGAAAAATTGTCGTAGTTGCCGCTTTTTACTGTGATGGTATGTATTAGATTGTTTTTCTTTACCGTCTCGATCGCGCGTGTGTTACAGCTGAAAATTCACCCTTCATGGGTGCACAAAAGCGAATTCTTGACTTGACTTGAAATAAGCATCTCAAAATAGATGGGACTGTTGTGACTGACAACAAGATAAGCATCTCATGCAGCCATTTCCTTTCAGAAATTTCAAGAGAGCAAAAACGAACAGCATTTCTGCGGGATAACCTGAATTCAGATTATTTCGTGTCTTCTCATTCAGCCGCTTACAGACAATTCGTGGAAAGAGTAAAGGAATGCAACTGAAAAAGGGGTCAGTAGGAAAATCAATAAAACACTGAGCAAATCAAGATCATTGCCTGCGTCTTACCGGGGAAAGGCAAGACTGGCCACAAGGTCTAACTATTTGAAAGGTCTGATTTCATTCGTTGGATGGCCGAGGCTTCAGCGAGACGAAGCAAGCTCGCATTGTTTTGTCTGCTGATAACCTTGAACGCTGGTGGACTGAGTGTTCGCTGAGCTCGGCAGGTTGACTGCAAACATTTCGCCACCACTCGAGGTGACATCATCAGTACTGTTTATATATATATATATATATATATATATATATATATATATATATATATATAGAAAATGACTGAAACCGAGTAGGATCAAGGTCATCGATGGCGTGTGACGTAAGCAGGAGCCGTCGATACTGTGGTATCATTTGGGAACCATCAGAATAGGAGAATAAGTTGAATCAATTGGTGGATCAAATAACGCCTGGAGTATGTTACAGTGATATGTAACTTAAGATGATAAAGCCCCCCGCTGCCCGAGGAGTAGACATGAGGGTGGCAAAAACAGAGAGAGAAAAAACTGGTGGTTACTACAATCAACTTACAAAAATGAGAAAATTCAGTTACCTATCACTGGGGTGATCCTGACGTCGCCTTTAACGGCCACACCAACCTTCCACTTGCAGAACTCAAGACCATGATTTGATTCAGTGGGTTTGACACAGTTTGAATACCATCTCAATGTTCCATTAAGGAGATGGCCTTCAAAAAATGTTGTCAGACGCAAGTTGAAGACTAGGCCCGCACAAAATGTGAAAGCCAATTGAGGAGAATCAACAGCCTTCCGTAATGCCTGTCTAATAGTTGAATCAGATCGCAGCCGGACGGCAGGTGGCTGAAAGGACAAGACAGGCCGAATGTGGCCGGGTCGAGCCTGCGTAGGAGACCGGGCGAGCCTCGCAATATCCTTAGACCACGCGCGACTGGTGGTGGTTGCCTGGCAGCGAAGTGTCGGTACGACATACCGGCGTAATGCTGAAGCCTCGCATACCAACCCTCGAGCGACCTGTGATGGTCACATGTCAACGAGGTACTGTTGATGCCTTACCCTATAAGATCTAACCGGTGTACGGGACGAAGTGTGCCAATATGGGAAATATATTAAGTCAGAATGGAAAAAGAAAAGCATTTTATCAATCAAGTCATCATATCACATTTGGAAAACAACCCAGGGTTAGGTAGATATAAATCGCATAAAAAGAACACGTTGAGACCGTTCCTCCTGGAGGAATGAAACAGGGGACGTACAGAGAGCGAGGTGTAGAGTGCGCTTCGGTTCAGACAAATGGGCCCGTTGGCGCGCATCACACATACGCCCAAGCACACCCAGGCACCACAGATCAAGCGAATTGCCACAAGCGATTCCAGGCGTTAGAGACGAAGCCGGTTTCATGATGAGGAGGTATGAGGAAACCAAATTCAAGACGATAAAGACTAAATCGAAGATGGGAACGAGTTATCGGAATAAGTTGGATTGAAGCACGAAATTCAAGGGAACGAAAACGCCGTAACTGGCCTATAATTTCGAATGAAGAGTATACAGCCTAACGAGTGGACAGACAACCATATCGGTCAACGCAGTGACGAAAACGGTAAAAAAGAAAGACCGTGGAACTAGTGCAGGAACATACCCAATGCATCAGGTTCTCCAAAATTCGGGAATAAATCAGCAGATGGAGTACTACGTTCTTCGGTATCATCCTGCATAGAATCTCGTGATGGGTCGGGGCATGATAGAAAATCTTGATCTAACAAAGGGCGGTTTGTTTCAGGTAGAGAGATTAACCTAGGCTCAGGCAGAATGTCACCCGGGTGTTCTTGTTCACTTGGCGGCGGCGGTGTAAGAAGTAATGCACCCAAGAGGTTCAATTTGTCATACAGCGGATCACGAGTAGGACTTTGTTCACGCGCGTCAGTCGATGTAGATGGTAGTAGTCCCGCAGACGCTGCGCGATTAAGCATCGCGTCCTCAATGGACTCCAGCTGTACTGCAGGCGTTCGTTGGGTGTCCACCGTATCCGGAATCTTCGGGTTGTCATTGCTAATAGAGTCCAAAACAAGGACGAGAGATTGATGAGGGCATTGTAAGGCAAAGAATAAGACAGGAACAACATTACTGCTTTGTACTGATGCGTCATTGCCATAAATGGGGATGACTAAGAGATGAAAGGGTCTGATGCAAAACTTAAATGTTAAATATACGAGGGCAGAGCAATAGGTTTCCGGATACGTAGTACACAGATTACGTGCAGATGACCTGTTAAGAAAAATGAGAACTGTAATCCATTCTGAAAACTGCAAAACGATTACAACTCAGAGAACTCCATTTCAGCAGTCCAGCACATCTCACAAGGCATAAGGGTCGCTATACTCTAAGTATGGAACTCAGTCTATGTCACTGGAGGACGATAATTTTCCATGACGACAAGTGTGGCTTAAAGCAGCACCAGAGTGTTGAGCGACTGTGTACTGCATTTGATGATGCGTATTTAAGAAGCGCCGTGTTTGAGTGGTTTGCAGAAGTCAAACGTGGCAAGCGGTCCTTGGATTAGGAGGCACGGTGTGGTCGACCAGTGGAGGCCACCACCGCAGACAGCATTGCTGATATGCGACCGATGCTGGAAGAGAACGCAGGTGCAATTCCGGGACGGCTGGAGAAAGTCATCAGGATCTCACCAATATCAACCCGCACCATCGTAGAACTCAGAAAGGTTTGTGCACGCTGAGTAATCCGTCAGCTCATTGAGGACCAGATAGAAGTTCGGATGAGTTGGCGTTACATCATGCTTGCCAGATTTTATGTTGGAGGTTCCAATGCCGTTTAAGAGGTCCCCAACGGTGGTGGGAGTACAGCTTCGACCCAGAGACTAAGCAACAATGGTCCAATGGACGGCCGTTGGTGGGTCACCGCCTCAGAAATTCCGGCATGGGCACAGTGTGGCCAAGACCGGTTACATGACTACTGTATCGCTAGTACGGCAACACACAGTCACCGAAGACTGGTATCACACCCCCTGTCTGTCACCATTGCTGGAAGTTGTGGCCGGACGTCATCCAAGCGCTCGAGCACGAGAGAGCTTGCTGCACCATCGCAACGCACCTGCATACTGGTTCCACGTCGTCGTAGATCTTTTGGCTACAGAACGCATCCAGGTGGTTGGTCACCATCCACTCTACAGTCCAGACATGACTCCGTGTGACTAAGTTATTTTCCCAAATGTTAAACGCATGATGCGTGGAATTTGCCACGAGTCTCCAGAAGCTGCAGTAGAGACTCTTATTGAGCTGCTAGAAGGGTTACCGGAGTCGGCATGGCCTAGTTGCTTCTCCAAATGGTTCGAGTACATAGAACTGTGAAGGAATGATAATGGAAAGTACTTTGAGAAAATGAGGCTTATTTGTTTTGAAAGATAAAACTTTGTGCATCAGAAAATGTAATGCTCTACCCTCGTAATAGCGCAACTGTCAGACAACTTAGCTTCACCACATGTTCACAAACAAGTTCTCATTATGACAAAATGGTATCGTCAAGGCAGTATATCTGCAGCGCTCAATGCTCGCGTCATAACCTACTCCACCAAGCAACATGCACTACTTAAAAAGGCGGTTTGGCTATGAGACAAAGAAAACGTGTCCAGATGCCAGCCACGTGCTATTTCCGGTAGGGTCTGGAGCTAAACACAGGGTGAGTCGAGTGGACCGCAGCTGGAGGTGCGAGATAGCCAGACAGAATGCGGCTAAATCGATAGTGTGGTCATTAAAGGATTGTCATCCTCGAAAAGGAAAATACAGATTCGGCAGGCATGGACTCTACTGGGCAATTCAAGAGCGAGAAAGATGTGTTCCAGCCAGCGTAGCGTCGTGTGCTGAACAAAGAAGTAAACTTGGCCGTATCCGCCTAGTAAGTTAGTACATATCTCGTTGTTGCGATCAAACTGGTACCAACTGACGCAACCGATGTTTCATAGGCTTCAGACCGAAGTAAATGGTTAAAAACCAAAATGTCAACAACAACAACAACAACAGCACAGCACCCACTTGAACCGATGTTTTGCGACCGAGCAACCACAATAACTCACAGAACGAAAAATGATAAGAGGGAGAGGAGGGGGGCTTACCAGAAAACCTTAATGTCCTAAGCAAACATTCAAGGTCAAGGCGCCTACACCTGGTGTTAACAACATACCGTCACAGACAGCTGGCTGTCGTGCAAAGAGAAAGCGGTATCGGTTAGACAGCAATCTTGGGGCTTAATGCTCCGCGTCATAAGCAGCCATTAGCCAGCAGATAACACAGCACCAAGCACATTTTAAACAGGCTGTCCGACTGTAGGGCAGCATAAGTGCCACTGGTGCCAAAAGTGAGTCATGTTCTGATTCGTCTCAAGCAAAGCACAAGATGGGTCACGTTGATACCAATCGGCCAGTTCTTCTTTCATACAATATTCTTGTTCTGCAATGAGGTGACAAACGAAATTTGAGGCCAGTAATTTTGTCACCACCGGCGTTACGCTAATACACAGTCGGTGCGATTGCTACTATATTCCATACATCAGTTAGTTGGGATGGTCCCCTCCTTCAGGATATGTTCGAACAGGGAGGTCAGTGTTTTGCAGATGACGTCACTATCATCGTTGAAAAGTGCATATGAGAGGGAATCTCGGTCAGCAGCATGAAAAGGATTAAGGGCTGCGATCGTGTTTTGGACCTGCCTAGACGGAGCCTCTAAACCTACATGAGAAGAAAGTGGTCCATGAGCAAGGGGCCAAATGAACTGATCTCGAAAGTGATCCGCCCAACGGGTCATACGGAGATTCTTAGTGTAAATCAGGGAACTGGTGCTATCTCTGATTGTCTCACTAACGTTAGGTTTTCTGGGGCCAGTAGTGTGGATCAGTTGGAATGACTTACGATAATTGCTTACCGCTCATGCTTTCTCCATTTCTTGAGCCATACTACCCCAGCAAGCTTCATTGTAAGCACGCAGATTCCCTTCATTTCGCGCCTAATAGTTCACCTAGTTACACTAGGCTCAAAACCAGACAGGAGTTTCCTTCTGGATTCCACAGGTTCACCGACCTCTCGGATATCTTGTGACTTGTGGGGTAACAATTGTTAATACCCCAAGCGGATACACCTGCGACGTGCATGGCAACCGAAATCCTACTCCGCTGAGGCCCACTGTCATTAGGACGAGAAACTGGAAAGTTTGGCACGCACGGTATCCTGGTAGGTTTGCATGACCGAGGGTTAAGATAACTTCTCAGTTGTCAATCGATGGAGGCGCTTGAGAAGCCACCGGGCACAATTCATCGGAAAACGGCAGCGTACCAAAGCATGATTAAAGTCGAGGAAAGCACTCCAGAAAGCGCGACAATCCAGGATGGAACTACGCAACCTGTGGCTTATGGCAAACAGATCGAATTGGGTCCATCGCTGGCCAGCTATAGGAAAATGTCAAGTGGTACGTTGGCGCCTACCGTGCCTAAGAGGTGCTATTAAAAAACAGACGGTGATCCGCACCCAAATGTAACAGACGCTCGCTGCTGTCCGTATGGTCCGTTAAGTCCATACGTTGTAATAACTCGAAACACCAGCTCGGGTTGTCTGTTCAGCTTTTGGTCTGTTCTCCTAGCTGAACAATTTGGTTGCAAGTCATCACCAATCTGAAGAGCCAAGGGGACCTACTTGCGCATTCCCGTTCGCTGCAAGTACCACGATATCTGAACTGGTAGCATTGAGTAGTAACATGTTCAGCTCGCGGTAGAAACCGTGCTTTGCAGCATCAGAGCTGCAATCGATGGGGTCATAAATGGAAAAGCTTAAATAAAATGCGTATAGTGTTACTTCGTGAATCAACCTTAGTTGATGTCATCAAACGATCTGCGCACGAACGGCAGTTTATGGGAATCCAATCAACTAACAATGACTCAGCCTTGAAGGTGAGAACGATGCCAACCCCAGCTTGACCAGTGATTGCCGCAGCAGCGTCTCCGGATGTGTGCAACCAATAGTGAGAGGACACACCGAGGATAGTTAATTCAACATCGTTGTAGGGCCACTGATGGTTGTTTCGGATACATAACACACGTCAACAACCAGTATATCCAAGATGCTTGCAACTTCAGTCTGTTTATTCATTTGATGTAAGGTGGGAAATCGGAACACCGCCAGGGAAGCAGCTATTCGTGTTTGGTGGGTGGTGGGGGAACAAAGCTGCATATGGTGTCAATTCAGTGGCATTGTGGCTGCTGTCAATTAAACCGAGAATTATAGAAAAATTAGTAATGGGGATCAGGATGGAAGTGGCATAGACAGATGGAAAGGAAAGAAGGGAGGCGCCACCGGTAGCATGTTTTCGTTCATCCGCCCTGCTGTATGCAGCAGATAAGGCGACTCTTGATAATCTGCGCGACGGCCGACCTAGGATGTGGTTGAAGTTTGAGGAACTAGGCATGGGCGCCCAGACCTAGACAGGAGGACGATTGAGGTCCTTCACCAAAGTCTTTGGCTCAAAAGCCAGTCCGCACAGCAGTGCAGAGAGCGCAGCGATACGCTTCTACAGAAATGGACGCCATCCGATTTCAAATCCACAAGCTAGAGGATAAGGAAACTGACTTCGCCTGACCTCCAACCAATGACAAAGTTGGTAGGAGTACCTCTCAAGAGGCCTGAGGGCCCCACGCAGTATAGCTGGATGGATCGACGTTGTATGGAAACCGTCACACCACACCAAGATCTAGTCTCGTTGCGATGGAATAATCAAAATGTCATGTCACACAAAAACCCGTGTTGGATGGAAGTCAGTCGGATGGATAAGAATGACGGACCTTTGCGACTTAAAAGACCTTGTGATGGTCATGGATGATGGTAACCTGAGTTCACTGCATCAAATAAGCTCAAGCTGGGCAGGGAACGCCACCTTCATTCGTCAACTCTATAACTGAAAGGATACTGAATAAGTCCATTCACTCCAAAGTTTTCTGAGTGTGTAGGTCCCATCTGGTGAGTAACCAACTGGAAACGCGGGAACAGATAAACATTTGTCACTTCGGATTAGAGCGGTATACTTGGGCTGGGGAATAGGCTGGTGTAGAACCATGCAAGCTTCGAAAAGCTCTTCGCAAATTGAAATCGCATAGCACTGTAATAAGACTTAGCCGGCACAGTATCAGTTCACGTTGGTGAGGAACAGCCAATCAAAGGGATCAGACACATTCGGCGCTCAGTCCAGGCATCGGCAACGTTGGATGAATCTGTCGAGAAAATAGTAACATTAAAGTACCTACTGAAAGGGGAGCAGATCCGTTTATGTAAAAAAGTAAAACGCCTATTATTTCATTATAAAAATAAGTTTGTGTTATTTGACGAAATCCGTATGTGAAACACAAGGTGTTGAAACTGTGCCATCCTCGAATAGGCTTGTTGGATACCACCAAACTGTGGTTCAATAAGTCACGTAAGTAACCAAAGAAAAAGACTACGGTTCCATCAAATGCCTACAGAATGTCAGTGAGGACCATAGGGCATAGTTCACCTGGAGGTCTGGGCAAGCAGGATGATGAAAAATGACACTAACAAGTTCAATACAACGCGAACAGTCAAGTCACAAATATATCTTTCCTCCCAAGACTATCTGACGTGTACTGAAAGTGTACGCGCAGAGTGAAGAGACAACAGCGAAATAAACGCCTACAGAACGCAAAACAGATGTACATTTAGAAGGGAAGAATGACGGTTTCCAGAAGAAGAGCTGGGTAATGTGAGGGAGGGAGACCCAATGTGAGACAGAAAGCAAAGATGGTTGAGGAGGAGGGAAAAGGGTAAGGCGGTGAATCTCGAGCAGTTGTATTTAGATTTATCAAGATCTCATTCAACATCCTGAAACATCACTGGAAGCGACTGAGAGCTTTTGGGTTCAGCAATGCCTGAAAAACCTAGTTAGGCCAACCAAATCAGTGGGGATCGGTGTAGCATTGATAGCGAAAGAAGAAGCTAATCACGATGACAGAGGTATCGCATCTTTTCAAACGTTACATTAGGATGACATGGATTATGAGTGGTACATGATGCAAGCTCTTCACACCCAAATACGTAGCGGCGTTAAGATTGGCAATGACTAGAATATCGCCATAAACCAGGGATCCGTCAAATGTCACTGCGAACAGGGGTGAGTGGTAACCCCGCACCGCCTAATTCGTGCGCACAGAAGCTGACTTTGGTGATTTCTAAAGGCACATAATTAATCGTTAGTCAGGCCGATTTCATGTCACGTTTTTGGTGTGTGCACTGCTATCGCGGAATCCGTTAGTACAGTCCCGCATTCAGGTTCGGTTCTCCGCGATCGTTACATGCGTTCTTTATGTTCTTCTACCCTCGTACGCAGAGCTTCCACTGTTTGAGACATGTATAAAAGTGCGGAGTCTGCGTAACAAACAACATAAACCTAATTAATCGTCATATCTGTGTGAAAGAAATCTTTCAAATGCACCGGTATCAAACGGATTGCTTGGAACCTTTGGTAATTCCCCTTTCACTAATACTCTCTGAACAGCCTTTGAAGTTCTCTGTAAAAATGAATTTTTACCGCAAATATGCACTCCGTCGTAATAATAACAATAATGATATTATACCATATTAAGTGATGCTTTACCGGCAATCGGCTAATTGGTATAAATGGTATACTACTCATCCAGTGGTCTACCTGGGCTGGCGATGATTTCGTGTTAAAAGCAAAAAAGTTGCCTAACAATTGTACCAAATTGAATGTTTTTCAACATTTACAAAAAACGCCCACACTTTGAAGAAGTTCAAACACACACCCACACGTGTGAGTGGGTCAGGTGCGACCCCCGGCGACACTGCGAGCCAAATGTTATGGGAGAGAAAACGCACAATAACGCACCGCAGAACGGTCAGTTTGGTGAAACCCGTGCTGCCTAAAAACAGGACGGGACCGCCACGACAACTTGCTGCACAGTGCGCGAAAAATCGCGCTGAGTAGGAGATAACTGTACTTGTGTTCAGAGAGAACTGAGAGAACCACTATGCCATTCGAGAAGAATTTCACCTCGCACACTGAATGCACATTCACTATTAGGTGGGACGGAGCAATAAAACGTAAGTCTAGTGGTGCTGGAGTTGCGGTCGCAGCACTGTAATGAAGAGAGGTCAAAATTCGTTGCGTTCGCTGCAGTAAGTCGGTTTCTATATAACAGCTGACAGGCATGAACGGCTACAGCATGTAATATAAGAGAATAAAAACCATCTTAATAAAGACATTTGATTCTTACACTTCCACTGCATCCGTCGCCAACGGACTTCCCGGTGTATGTGAGTTAGGCGCTGGGGGAGTGTTTTGAAAGGAACCGTGCTCAGCTGCAACGTACAAGCTATCCGGCAAAAGAAGCCGCCTTTCCATCTCATGAAACATTAACTCTGTCTCAATCATGGGATCTGATGGGACACTTGTGGAGTGTGAGGGCGTGAGACACTTATCCGCCTCGGTCAACTCCGGTGGGAGCACATTTGACAAAAGTAGTTGGGATTCCTTTCCACTGTTCTCTTCCACAGCTGGCTGACAGACGGTCGCACTGTCCTCCACATCAGAGCTGATGAAACAGAACGACACTGATAGCAATAAACATCGAAGGGATAAAGTATGGATGCTGAAGAAATGGATTCAAAATGAGTACCATGGACGCGAAAACAGTCAGATGGAAAGGTGAAATATCCGTGTGAAGGGTTAATGAGCCGTTGCAATCGCGGAGAAACGTTTCGCAATCAAACAAGTACCTATATATATATATATATATATATATATATATATATATATATATATATATATATATATGTATATATATGACAACCGCCTTGTGGCGCTCTTGATTCCCCAAATACAGCGTGCTTGCTTTTATCTATGAAGTAGTGTAGGCCGGTTCCTTTGAGGAAACTTGGCTGCCTATATATATGACAATATATATATATATCAGCAACACGCAAACATGCAACATGGTTGGCGGCATCCGGTTTCAGATTTGCCTGTCACTGTGGCCAGCCACAGGACGCCTGTGCGTACAGAGGGACCATGGATGGCTTGCGCTGAACCATCCACAGCTCCACCTACACAGCCCATATCCAGTGTAAATCCGAAGGAATAAGACCGGGAGGCATGCGCATGGCAGCCACGTTTCATCAACGGAACCGGCCCACACTCCTTCATAGACAAAAGCAAGCACACTGTATTTGGGGAATCAAGTGCACACACAAGGCGGTGGCTGGACCGCAGTCCGCTCCACACTGACTGCATGGAACCACTATTCGAGCCTAGCACGACCACAAGGACCGCGCACCCCGTCCCCTCCAGCAACCACCAACTGTCAATATATACATATATATATATATATATATATATATATAATATAATATATATATATATATAATATATATATAATATATATATATGTATATAGGTACTTGTTTGATTGCGAACCGTTTTCTCCGCGAGTGCAACGGCTCATTAACCTTCACACGAATATTTCACCTCTCCATCTGACTGTTTTCGCGTACATGGTACTCATTTTGAATCCATTACTTCTGCATCCACACTTTATCCCTTCGATGTTTATTGCTATCAGTCTCGTTCTGTTTCATCAGCTCCGATGTGGTGGACAATACGACCGTCTGTCAGCCAGCTGTGGAAGAGAACAGTGGAAAGGAATCCCAACTACCTTTGTCAAATATGCTCCCACCGGAGTTGACTGAGGCGGATAAGTGTCTCACTCCCTCACACCCCACAAGTGTCCCATCAGATCCCATGATTGAGACAGAGTTGATGTTTCATGAGATGGAAAGACGGCTTCTTTTGCCGGATAGCTTGTGCGTTGCAACTGAGCACGATTTCTTTCAAAACACTCCCCCAGCGCCAAACTCACATGCACCGGGAAGTCCGTTGGCGACGGATGCAGTGGAAGTGTAAGAATCAAATGTATTTATTAAGATGGTTTTATTCTCTTACGTTACGTGCTGTATGCCGTTCATGCTGGTCAGCAGTTATATGGAAACCGACTTACTGCAATGAACGCAGCGAATTTTGACCTCTCTTCATTACAGTGCTGCGATCGCAGCTCCAGCACCACTCGACTTACGCTTTATCGCTCCGTCCCACCTAATAGTGAATGTGTACTCAGTGTGCGAAGTGAAATCCTTCTCGAATGGGATAGTGATTCTCTCAGTACTCTCTGGACACAAGTACAGTTATCTCCTATTCAGCGCGATTTTGTGCGCACTGTGCAGCAGGTTGTCGTGACGATTCCGTCCTGTTTTCAGGCAGCACAGGTTTCACCGAACTGACCGTTCTCTGGTGTGTTATTGTGCGTTTTCTCTCCCATAACATTTGGCTCGCAATGTCGCAGGGGTCGCACCTGACCCACTCATGTGTGTGTGTGTGAACTTCTTCAAAGTGTGGGCGTTTTTTGTAAATGTTGGAAAACATTCTGTTTGGTACATTTGATAGGCAACTTTTTGCTTTTAACACGAAATTATCGCCAGGCCAAGTAGACCATTGGATGATTGGTATACCATTTATACCAATTAGCCGATTGTCGGTAAAGCACCACTTAATATGGTACAATATCATTAGTTATTATTACGATGGAGTGCATATTTGCGGTAAAAATTCATTTTTACATAGAACTTCTAAGGCTGTTTAGAGTATATTAGCGAAAGGGGAATTTCCAAAGGTTCTAAGCAATCCGTTTGATGCAGATGCATTTGAAGGACTTCTTTCACGCAGATATGACGATTTATTAGGTTTATGTTGTTTGTTACATAGACTGCGCTTTTATACATGTCTCAAACAGTGGAAGCCCTGCGCACGAGGGTAGAAGAACATAAGGAACGCATGTGGCGATCGCAGAGAACCGAGCCTGAATGCGGGACTGTATTAACGGATTCGACGATAGCAGTGCCCGCACCAAAAACGTGACATGAAATCGGCCTGACTAACGATTAATTATGAGCCTTTAGAAATCGCCAAAGTCAACTTCTTTGCGTACGTAGTGACATTTGACGGATCCGTGGTTTATAGCGATATTCTAGTCATTCCCACTCTTAACGCCGCTACGTATTTGTATGTGAGAAGCTTGCATCATATACCACTCATAATCCATGTCATGTTAATGTAACGGTTGAAAAGATGCAATACCTCTGTCATCGTGATTAGCTTCTTCTTTCTCTATCAATGCTACACCTATCCCCACTGATTTGGTTCGCCTGGCGAAGTTTTTCAGGCTTTTCTGAACCCAAAAGCTCTCAGTCGCTTCCAATGGTGTATCAGGATGTTGAATGAGATCATGATAAACTCCTCGAGATGCATCGCTTTACCGTTTTCCCTCCTCCTCAACCATCTTTGCTTTCTGTCTCACATTGTGTCTCCTTCCGTCACATTACCCAGCTCTTCTGGAAGTCGTCATACTTTCCTTCTAACTGTACATTTGCTTTGCGTTCTGTAGGTGTTTATTCCGCTGTTGTTTCTTCACCCTGCGCGCACACTTTCAGTGCACGTCAGATAGTCTTGGGAGGAAAGATATATTTGTGACTTGGCTGTTCGCGTTGTATTGAAATTGTTAGTGTCATTTTTCATCGTCCTGCTTGCCCAGACCTCCAGGTGGACTATGGCCTATGGTCCTCACTTGCATTCTATACGCATTTGATGGAACCGTAGTCTTTTTCATTGGGTTACTTACGTGACTTTTTGAGCCACAGTTTGGTGGTATCCAACAAGCCTATTCAAGGATGGCACAGTTTCAACACCTTGTGTTTCACATACAGATTTCCTCAAATAACACAAACTTATTTTTTTACATAAGCGGATCTGCCCTCCTTTCAGTAGGTACTTTAATGTTACTATTTTCTTGACAGATCCATCCAATGTTGCCGATGCCTGGACTGAGCGCCGAATGTGTCTGATTCCTTTGATTGACTGCTCTTCACTAGCTTGAACTGATAATGTGCCGGCTAATTCTTATTACAGTGCTATGCGATTTCAATTTGCGAAATACTTGTCGAAGCTTTCATGGCTCTACACCACCGTATTCCCCATCCCAAGCATACCGCTCTAATCCGAAGTGACAAATGTTTGTCTATCCCCGCGTTTCCAGTTGGTCACTCACCAGACGGGATTTACACACTCAGAAAACTTTGGAGTGAATGGACTTATTCAGTATTCTTTCAGTTGACAAATGAAGGTGGCGTTCCCTGCCCAACTTGAGCTTATTTGATGCATTGAACTCAGGTTACCATCATCCATTTTCATCACGAGGTCTTTTAAGTCGCAGTCTGTCATTCTTATCCATCCGACTGACTTCCATCCAACACAGGTTTTTGTGACATGACATTTTGATTATTCCATCGCGACGAGACTGGATCTTAGTGTGATGTGACGGTTTGTATACCACGTCCATCCATCCGGCTATACTGCGTGGGGCCCTCAGGCCTCTTGAGAGGTACTCCTACCAACTTTGTCATTGGTTGGAGGTCAGGCGAAATCAGTTTCCTTATCCTCAAGCTTGTGGATTTGAAATCGGATGGCGTCCATTTCTGTAGAAGCGTATCGCTGCCCTCTCTGCACTGCTGTGCGGACCGGCTTTTGAGCCAAAGACTTTGGTTAAGGACCTCAATCGTCCTCCTTTCTCGGTCTGGGCGCGCATGGCCAGTTCCTCAAACTTCAACCACATCCTAGGTCTGCCGTCGCGCAGATTATCAAGAGTCGCCTTATCTGCTACATACAACAGGGCTGTTGAGCGAAAACATGCTACTGCTGGCCACTCCCTTCTTTCCTTTCCATCTGTCTATCTTACTTCCATCCTGATCCCCATTACTAATTTTTCTATAATTCCCGGTTTAATTGACAGCAGCCACAATGCCACTGAATTGACACCATCTGCAGCTATGTTCCCCCACCATCCACCGGACACTAATAGCTGCTTCCCTGGCGGTGTTCAGATTTCCCACCCTACATCAAATGAATAAACAGACTGAAGTTGCAAGCATCTTGGATATACTGGTTGTTGACGTGTGTTATGTGTCCGAAACAACCATCAGTGACCCTACAACGTTGTTGAATCAACTATCCTCGGTTTGTCCTCTCACTATTGGTTACACACATCCGGAGACGCTGCTGCGGCAATCACTGGTCAAGCTGGGGTTGGGCATCGTTCTCACATTCAAGGCTGAGTCATTATTGGTTGATTGGATTCCCATAAACTGCCGTTCGTGCGCAGATAGTTTGATGACATCAAATAAGGTTGATTCACGAAGTAACACTATACGCATTTTATTGCAGCTCTGGTGCTGCAAAGCACGGTTTTTACCGCGAGCTGAACACGTTACTACTCAATGCTACCAGTTCAGATATCGTGGTACTTGCAGCGGATGGGAATGCCCAAATAGGTCGCCTGGGCTCTTCAGATTGGTGATGACTTGCAACGAAATTGTTCAGCTAGGAGAACAGACCAAAAGCTGAACAGACAACCCGAGCTAGTGTTTCGAGTTATTACAACGTATGGACTTAACCTACCGTACGGACAGCAGCGAGCGTCTGTTACATTTG